ACAGCCATCGGGTGTGGAAGTGGGCTGGGAAATTTACCTGCACCCAAAGTGTCGACGCCTCAATTTTCATCACACGAAAATAAGAGCAAAGGTGAAAGAAATCCAAACTCAAACCAAAAAAAAAAAAAAGGAGACCCGAACGTAAGCCAACTGACAATATGTTAAACCGAAATGGTGGCATGGAGTGACGAGGTTGGATTAAGCTGCACCAAAGAAAAATTCGAAAAGTACCGAGAGGAGTGCACTGGAAAATTCAAATGAAATACTTTAAATAATATATTTAATATATATTATTAGTATTCTGTTAATTATTTAATATGTATCTGGATCATTCCAAAACTAGTTTCTATATATACAAGTATCTATAGATAATCTGACAAATAGCAGAAATCTCTAGGTTTTATTTGAACAGTATTATTATTATTTTGTTGATACCATTGTGTATCTTTACAAAATATTTTCTTTTAATTTTTATGCTAAAGTGTAAGCCTATTTTGCTTTAAGTCTAGTATAGATTTAATTTGACATCCTTTTTAATTAATACGTCAGAAACCCAATACAAGATACCTACCTAAATTCCCCGGAAATCATAATTTTGAAAGTTCGTATTTATTAGTAAAATTTGTAGAGTGTAGTTTCACTGTTACTGCCACTAGTGCACTTGTCGATATCGACGTCAAAGTCTCGTAATGCCGGCACTCGCAGTTGTCAGCCTAAAGATGACAGTGATGGCAATGTGTTATTCTTGCCACGGTGTGGTTGCAGGAGCGGGATGGCGAGCGAAAGGACGCGAGGTCCTGGCGGGTTAACACATATTACGGCCCTTGCGTATTGATGTCGATCAAACCAATATACGAGCATGTATATATGTGCCCGTGTATCCAACGCAATTGAGGTCATGTCCATGCGGCATTCATTGTCGACATCGGCGATGGCGACATATATGCCAAAGCATTAACTCGGCATTTGTTTCAAGCTGCTCGGAGGCAAGTCCGAGAAGGGCGACATGGGTAAAGGGATGGGGGTGGAAATGGGGGAAGGACATTCGGTATTGGCGGGCGGACAGATAGCGCAAGTTCGGGCCGAGAGTTGCGACATATTGAAAATCATTGCACACACACACACACACACACTAACTCACCAGCCGGGGAAAGCCAAAAAAAAAGTAAAGAAAGCAGGAACAATGTATTGAAAGACAAACGGCATTGGCATCAATTTTTATTTGCCTGCACGGCAATGTGTATGTGTGTTGGCCGGAGGACAAAAAATTTTTATTACATTGAAAATTTGCATAAAATATTTAAGCCAATGGTCTGTCGATTGTACGGCTAGGAATTCTAAAAAAAAACTTCCCCAAAGCAATGGCAGAAGGACCACCTCCACTCTCTTAGTCCTGTGAAAGTTGGTGGGATTTGTTGTCTGAAGATTTGACAGGCCTTAAGGGCTAGAGAATGGTAACCGACAGTTGCGGTTTATTTTCGATATGTAAAGTAAACCTTATTGTTAATATGTACCCCTTTAAGTTGGGCTGCTATGATTCTGCAGAAAAGGATTTTTGCAATATTTATTAGATATTTTTTATTGACGTCCAAGAACATTTATACTTTTTTATTAAATATTTGCTTTAATATTTTATAGTATTTATTTATGTAATATAATATCCGTTTTTTTTTTAACAAGTGATTACAAATAAAATAAGAAATAAACAAGAGTGTTTTAAAAAAATATAGGGTTATTATATAACTCAATTATTGAAATATAAAAACAATAGAAATTCTTCCCTTTCACCGAGAGTTTGTCCTTTTGCAACATATCCTTTGAGGATCTTTAAAATACTTAATTTAAATGCGCGACTGAGATAGCACTACATCTCTATCACGATGAATGAAAAGAAAGAGACAGGCGAATAGGGAGCTGTGGCGAAATAGAGGAAACTTCAAGTATTCGCTGCACGTTCGCATCTTTAACGCCATATGTTGACTTTTGCTATAATTTTCATGCTAACCCACAAGAAGTGGGGCACGGGGTGGGCCATATCCTTTATCTTATATACGCTATTTTATGCCTGCACAACACCACGCCATCTCCCCTCGTACGGATGTTTTTGTTTCTCGCCTCTTTCGCCAATAGATTGTGCCACCACACTTTGGCATTTTATAACATAAACTTTCATTTGTTTTCTTTCGTTTTTCTTACTGTTTTTTATTTTTTTTTTATATTTTTTACGCCACAATGTTGTTGTTAGTGCTTGTAATGCGCTCATGTAGCTTGCCCTCTCAGCCCCCCTCGCACTCTTCCTTTATCCTGTTTTGGGGCGCATATGTTAAGCCCCGAATACATAGAAACGAGTCCGATGTCTTGACATCTGTCTACCGAGCCCACAACCCCAACTTCCCCAGTTTTTGGGCTTTGACAATCGTCCAAAAATGTAGATTTGCATGCGCATCAGCATCGGGCACACATTTATCTCGCCCACTTTCGACATTGCCGGCCGTCAGTTGTGTGCTCCTTAATGTAAGGCGATGCGAAAAAAAACAATGAAAAATTTCCTTTAATGGTAATGAAATATTATTGGGACTTTGTAGAAGAATATCACAAAATTAAATACAGTATTTGTTTTACTTATGAACCGAAGCTTGACTAATAACCAATTAATAACGCAATTTTTCTCTATTCAAAACTTACATTTAATTTTGTACCTTCTGACTGACAATATATTGCTAGATTTTTTTAATAAATAGTATTAATCAATAATACATATATCTTTTGCAAATAAATGTCTTTTAAATTCTGTAATTTCTCAGCACATCTTTTTAAATTATAGAGTGAGACTCTCTATGGAAATACAGATAGACGAACATGAACCATAATGCAAGCAAAAGTATAGGCGAATTGATTGATTCGAGTAAGTGAAAGAGTTTATTTGCGTATTTTACAGAATTTTATTGCACAACGGTAAACAGAACTGAATTACTGCAGAAATATGCAAAATATTTATATTGCAAAAATATTTTTAACATAAATAAATGGGTGGTCGATTGCAAAAGTCAAACAAATGTAAACTCACTTTGTAGTTTATTGAAAATTTAATAAAGTGCAGCCGAGAAGCAAAAGGATAATACCGGGCATTTAAGATTGAATAGGTAAATACCAATAAATGCAGAAACTACATGGAATGAGAAATAGCCAAATAAATATGCTATTTGCCTTTATTGCAATTCAAAGCCCCCGGAATCAGGAGTCAATTTACGTATTTAGGGATATATTTATTCCACAAAGAATTTGCAGCTCCCTCGACTGCTCGGCATTTTTGGTATTCAAATGACATTTAAAAAGCATTTCTGTTCGGAATGGTTGTCAAGACTACACGGCTGACACAAATCAGTCAGCAGGTGAGGCAAAAGCCAAGACTGGGACAGCCTTTGACCTGCATCTGCCCTCTGACATCCTATTTCTTTGCTCTTTTTTTGATCAATATGTGTGCCTGGAAGGAAAGCTTCATACAATGTACAAGTGATTGGTTGAATGCACTTTTTAAGCTATGAATCAAGAAGAGTATGCATTGGCTACACGAGTTGGATACAAATAAATAATACAAATTAAATTTACAATTTTTTTTATTTTATTAACATATAATAGAGGTGTGTATTATAGCTTGATATTTTACTTTAAAATGGGACCAACAAAATTTTGTTTCTCTTGTCTCCTTTGAGAAATAATATTTTGTTCAAGTATGTGGGTTTATAAAAATTTGTAGATGGGATTTTTGTAATTTTGCAACTTACAAACCGCTCTATTAATTGTTAATTTTATCGACTTTTCACTTGATTTCGAAAAATTAAAATAAATAAATGTTAATAATAAAGGGTGTTTTAAGAACCATATACAATTCACAAGGCAATGCAATGCCACACACAGTTCCACCAGCAAGAAATTAACAGACAGGAACGTTTTAAAACAGGACGTAATTCAGACATGTTTGTTGTAGTTTATATTGTTGGTTCGGAGACCAAATCAAAATCCAACAATATGGCAATAAACGAATATTGGTTGTACCAACGCATTTGATCTCCGCCGGTCTGCTTCCACACGAACTCCGCTTAACCGCATACAATTTTGCTGGCATGCTGATATCCATGGCCACGGTGATGGGGCCAATGTACGGAATGACCCACGCCCAAAGTGGGCAGGATAAGGCACCTAATGGGGGGCAGAGGGTGGTCCAAAAATGTCCCTAGGTGTTGGCTACATGGATGCCGACCAAACGCATCTGTTTGTATTTTGTTGCAGGACATGCTCTCTGTGGCCATATCCTTTACTAGCCTGTAGAACGGGGGGAAGTGCCTGTCACAGGGTCATCAGACGGAGGCTTTTATTGAAAATGTTCAATGGCAAAAATTCATAACTGCAGCAGAAAAGTACACAGAAAAAAATATAAATTAAATTCGGCCGCCATTATTCCTTACTACATTTATTACTCCATTTAGATTTTGAATCGTATAATTTGTTCATAAAAATGCTTTTATAAATTAAAGGTTGACATATAATAAAACAAATTGTATCATATCATAACACACTGGAAAATAAATTATCATATTTACACTTTAACTTATATACAACATTTATTTAATGAAACATAAAACACACTTTTTGGATAAAAATAAGAATAAAACAGTTACTTATTCAACGCAACCACTTTTTTGAACAGCGCATCGCATTTACGTTTTCATTTTGAAATCAATCGTGGACAGTTTTAGCCTCCCGGGCAGAACATTAGAGTTTGTCTGTTTTATGGCCCAAAGAACTATTTTGTTTTTACGAAACGTTGAGTAATACGATTGCGGTAATAACTTAGCTGCAATGCTTCAGTTTCAGTATTTTTGTCTCTCATATCCGGCACTTGGTTAGTGACATTGGTAGAGAATTGAATAGCTTCGATTGCCGCGGGCGAATCTTATCAATGGCCGGCCAAGTGGCCGCTGGCTCTTCTGAAAAAGGCTCTGCAAAGTCAGTCAGTGTCAACATGTCGTCGTGGGTTGTCTCCACCACCGAGCTGTACGATTGTGGTGCCAATGGCGCAACATCCTCATCCACGTCCACATCCGCTCGGCACACTCGACTGATCCTCCTGGTTTGGCATAATCTGGCGGAGAAGTGCCAAAAAATTGGAACCTTTTTTAGGCGCGAAACAAACAAACCGCTGCCCAAAGAACTGAGGCGATCGTTACGTCTTAACAAATCGGCCAGGCGAAAAGGCTATCGGAGTTGCGAGAGCGAGGCAGATAAACGGTAAGAATTATAAACTTATATTCGAATGGGCTAGATAAGCCCATTGTTATTGTTTACCAGAAGGTACGCCTATGTGCACCTGCTAGAGTGGACCTCTATAAGCTGAAATATATAGACTTTAAGTGGATTAAAGTGTATTATTTGGGCTTAGAGAGCTTGAATCAAAAATATTCCATAGTTTTTTTTAAATTATAAATAACTTGCATTAATTTCATATTGAGCATAGTTTAAAATATTCAATTTATTACGATTAATTTAGAAATTTTAACAGATAAAATAAAAAAATAAAAACTATAGCCAATGAAACCATTAGACATTTGATTGTGCTTCTGAAATTTTGAATTTAAGATGAATTTTGGATACACTCAATTTATATATCATAAACTAATCTATGAAAATTTTTCCATTCTTCAGGCTGATGAAAGAACGTTTAAACGAACCCGCGAACATATCCATACGAATGGGACCTGCCTTCGACTATAGGACATCGAATTTCTGACCGATTTTGAAAAGGAAACCAGGACATCGAACTTCGAATTTGTTAGCTCTGTTGCTAATTTAGCTTAAGATGTAATGTTGGCTGTTGTAATCTGTTATTAAAGTTTAAATTTTACCCATTTTTACATAAATGTAGTAAGCTCCGCAACAGCTGATGAAATTCGAGAGCTTTACGAAGCAAACAAAGCTCTATATTTCTCTTAGGATTGCATGTAAACTTGCTTCGATGAGCTCTCTTCAGTTGCTAGTTGGCCCCTGCTCTTAAGTACGCCCACACAAAAGTTTATTGCCCCGCTCACAACAAGTGGACGTGACGTTGTACTCTACCCACAAGAGTATATTATCAAAATAAATCAATTAATTTTTGAACAAATATATAATTTCAAAGTTGTTAATTCACTAAAAAAAGTGCTAAAAATTAAAAAAAAATAATTTAAGAACTTAGCAACAACAAGTGAAAGTAACAAAATGTACAGAATAATATATTTTAAATGAATGAACTTGTATTAAATATAATTTATAAAATTAAATATTCATGAACAATTACTTAAGAAATCGATAAGGGGCAAGGAAAAAAAGAGAACCCCAAATAGTTTTCACTCTTAAAATCTGGAAACTCTGCTTTCGATTTCTGAAAACAAAAGGCCAAAGAGCATTTGACAGTCGTTGAGACATTTAAAGTAACTGGGATTTCAGTTGGCTTTTCCTTTCTGCCGCCTTGCACTGCCACTCTCACTCTCTGCGAAGCACTCTCCATTTTTCTCTCAACCTTTCTCTTCTCATACGTCACAGAAAGCGTTATCTCCCGAGTTTTTTTGTATTTTGCCTGCTTAGTGTAAAAAACGTGTTCGACGCGGAAATGACATTGATAGTGAAATTTTAACCAAATTTGAGCAGAGTCGTGTTTATTTTTGATATCTCGGACAGCAAACAAACCAGTTACGAAAAGACTCAAAATTCGATCTGATGAGAAGTGAACTTTGATTTAAAAAAAACTTAAAATTAGTTTACGCTATTAAAAAAAATTAACATAAACAAGGGGTTGAGTTCAAAATGAAGCTGATTTCCACATTTGTTTATTTACTAGTGGCATTCTACAAATTCTTAAAGAAACTCCTGTAAGTCGCCATAATTATCTAACAATGTGATTTATTTATTGGGTGTGCCAGGCTTCGTCCTTTTTTCGCCCTTTTCCTCCCTCAAAACAACAAATCTTAAAGCTTATTGATAAAACAACAAGCAAAACATTTCGTTTTTTGCTGCTGCTTTTCATAAATTAAGTTTCCTTTGTGAAGCTTTTCCGTCTCGGTCTTTGTTTGCTGTTTTTTCTTTATTTTTTGTTTCTTGGATTTTGTTTATGTTTTTTGTTTTTGGACTTTCAGTTTATTAAAAGAAATATACAAATTTGCTCCAATCTGCTGACTTGTGCGAGTGAGAGGGAAAGATAGAGTCCAACCCGCTCTTTGTGTACTCTTCCCGCTCTCACCCTGTATCGCTCTCTTACCCCCCACCTCTTAGTAAAGCCACGTTTTTGTTTGGGTTTAAGGTCTCTAGGAAATTGGATGTGGTTTGTTTCATGTGGCGCTTGTAATTTACCCAAGTGCATGTTTGCGTGTGTTTTTGAGGGCGGGTGACAACAGAAATGTCTTTTTAATTACTATAACTGCCCTTTGTGGGCCTCTTTTCCAGCTTTAAGGGCGTTGTACACATAAGTTCCAGCAAGCACATAAGATCTTTACTGATTAAAGCGAATATCTCTTGTTGGAGGAGCTTGTAATTTCATTACAATTGACCGGAATTCCCCGACCCCTAGAAATCCCACTTGTTGAGGGTAAGAGCTGACAAATGTAATTGTCATAAAGAAATGTAGCTTTGGGGTATGGGATGATTAAGGTCATATAACCAAAAAAAACTGTTTAGAGTGTGTACATATATAAAATGAATAAAGTCTGTGAAAAGAAAACTAATTCAAAGCATTGTTTTTTAACTTTCTAAAACAACACAAAATAATTATGATTATGCATTTAACAACAATCTATTATCATACAATAAACATTAAAAATCAATTATCCATCTGCCTATATATTACTTATATATATTTACACAAATATTTATCGAAATATCTTTATAAAATATCTTATCTAAAATTCACTTATCTTTTAAACGTTCTTAAGAAGGTAATTGATTTTAAATAGCCTTTTTCGGATCTTAATTTTATCATGACTGTTTTCACAAATGTAAATTGTATATAAAGACTAAAATCAGAAAAATATAATTGCAACTTGAATCCCGTTTCAATCGGAATTGCTCAGTTATAGACCTTATGTCCCCATATTTACTATGCAGCTTTTAGTACCTTTAAATAACACATTATGTGAACGGCATACGCTTGCAGGTCCCATTGCCAAATTGATAAGAAGTGAAAGCGGTTTGGCAGACGTGAATAAATAGCACGAAGGTTCTATTATTAAAAAATGTATAATATAGATGATAAACTAAGAACCGAACTTTATACCGAAACACTAAAACAAGGCCGCTGTTGGTCCACTCGAAGTCGTTATCTTATCTCGGCGGCTAGACCACTGGCTGTTAATACTAAATACTCGGCTATACTAAAAAAACTAAATAGTTGTATTACCCACCTAATCGGCAGTCGCACTCACCACTGACCTTGGCAGGCCAACTGGGTGCGGGATTGGCGAGAACTACGCAAATCCAACCGCCCCAAACTAATTAAAACCAATTAGATCCAGGCTACGTCACTTTTTTGTTGCATTCCCCGTTCTTATCAATAAGTAGTAAATCAAATCCAATTTGAAAGTTTTACAACAGACCCGTGCGAAGGAATTATGCTGGGAGAAACGTTTTCAAGTGGCTAATGCCTTCGGTTCTCATATAAGAGCACCCGATAAGATATACCCCAAAGCCAGACACAAGACCAGACACGATCCTCATGTCATTGGCATTGTTATCAGCGCGAATTTACAAATTGTTCACAATTGACCCACTCAGGTCCAACAAAGTAAGTGAGTCATTTGATTGACGTCTTTGAATCTTTGTTTGAGTGGGAAAGTGATTGATAATTGCCTTTTCGAAGTGCTGAAGATTATTTGCATGTATAGATCGCTTCAACATAAAGCTTTTATATATTTTTTGTTTACTTTATTATTAATGAACTTAAGGTATTGTTATTATTATGAATAGCATGATTAAAGAATAGAAACAACCCTTAAGAGAGTTATTAGGGCAAAAGTTACAAAAACGTATTAAGCGAGGTATGGAAGAGTATAAGAATAATGTAGCTCGTTAAGAAATTTAACTTGCATTAAGTTTAATGGATTAGATTTCATTTCACTCGTAAATATAACCAAGCTTGTATATTTTAAGTTATAATCAAATTAAAAGAATATCCTAGATCTATACCCTCAAAGACTGTGCCTGTTCCAAGTACCGCAACTCTAAAAAAAGTATTGGAAAATGTATACATATAAACAGTATAACAGATTTTCTGTTCATTTCCTAATACAGGGCTTGTAACCTAACAAAGACAATCATTTAAATAAGTGTATTTCCAGTAAAAATCTCTTAGCAGGAAATATTTGTTTACTTTAAGAAGCTAGTGGATGCAAAGTTAAATGCTGATCAATTTGAAATAAATTAATACCACATATCACTCATACGCAAGGTATGCCCAAAAGAAACCGAATAAAGAGCCGTAGACCCTCGCGACTATTTACACTAGTGTTACAGTCCCTGAGAGCGTGAGCCATTGAACTTATTACGATAATGAGGTAGATAGTATAAATCGGAGAGGGCTCTTCTCGCCGGCTGATTGTGCAATGGTGCCTCAGTCGGCCAGACGAACAGAGCGGTCTCTTGGCATTATCCTTATCAGCTTCCCGCCACAGAGAGCGTTGGTATAAATGTCGCAAAGCACGTACCATCGAGTTTAGTTCTTTGCAGCTCGCCGGAGCATTTGAATCGCTTAAAAATCGCGCACTGTCAAACCGCACTAGACGTTTTCTCGGTTCGCGAAAAGCAGTTTGCGGACAGTTTGGATACTCTGCGATCGGTAGTTAACCATGTGTGGTGGTGCTTAGTGCAGGCAGTGCAAAATGGTGAGTCTGGCATTCGCAGCGATAGGTTGAATTTGCCCCACTGAACCACTTGCAATGTGAGCCACAAAGCTTTCGGGGAAAAGCGGTCGATGTTTCATTGATTTTGCGTCCAGATGGAATCAGCTTTTGCCGGAGTAGAACCAGTTTTTTCCAAGCCAAAGCCGATGCGATACTCTCCATATGTAGTACGAGTATGTGTCCCAATCTGTCGCTATGCTGTTGTATAACAAAAATAATCACCAGGCAGCCCACTAAGCCGTACACTATTTGTCTATACCCTGTATTGGACCAGATAATGTTCAAAAGAATAAGCTGTTATTTTTAATAATGTCATTTTTACACAAAAAAACCAAAAAATAAATCAAAATATTAGGAGTTACACAATTTTTATAGCTAAAGCTATAATTTTGCCGAACAAGTAGTAAACAAACCTTGAATATATGTCAATCTGTAGATTAAGGAGTGAAAGATCAAACAGGTTACGTCAACAATCCTTCTACCTCAACCTTTACAATCATTGTGGCAATTTTAATGTCCAGGTCATCTGATAGTCGAGTTTACAGGATGGTTGTGTGTGAAATCCCCTGATAAGCTTATCAAATCGCTGGCGTCTCTCCCTTTTTATTTTGTTTTTTGTTTGCCTTATATTAATCTATATCAGATGGAGTGATCGACGACCCGATCAGCCAGCGAGAGCAGGTGTCCAGCAGCTACATAGTCAGCTGAATTGGCAAAAAATGTTATATAGTTTCTTTACACAATTCCCTATTATCTCGCCCATGAGGTGTGGGCCTGTCATAAATTGAGCGAACCTGTTGCCAAGTTCATGTGGCATTCTCGGCATTTGGACGACTCCCCACAGGCCCGTACACTCACGTACATATAGCCATATAAATAAAATCCAATGTCGGCCGCTGCTCTTGTTGATTCCGCTCGACTTTCCGCAGTGCATTGCCAAAATAAATATAAGACCCGTACAAACGTTTGTAGAGCAGTCGCACCTGCGGAAGGGGAAGTGAATATTATTTTCAATTAGTGAGATATCGAAAATTGACTCAAGCTGTGTAGGTATGTACTGCTTAAAATATAAAAAGTACATTGGATTTGATCAAGTTCAATAACAGCTGAGCAAATATTCAAAGGCCAGATGGTAAAAACTCTTGCCTACTTTTGGGCAGCTATTTAAGAACAATTTAAAAAAAGAAGGAAACAAAAAAAGAAATGTATGTGTTTTCTTATGAAAGTCAAGTGAACATTATATTTTTAAACCTATAAATTAAATTCTAATTAATAATTAAGGTTAAGCCAATTAGTGATTTACTTAAAAAGAAAATTCGCATATGGCGGAAATGAATAAAAGTCGTTCTATTCATGCAATTAGCCTTATGTCTATTAGCCAAATGAAATGCAATCAATTTGCTCTTGAATTAATGCAAAACATGAAAGTGCATAATAATTTATAAGCTACAAATTAGCATTGAAGGCTCATGTCTTTTCTCTCGATTTGTTTTGATTTCATTTTGGAGAGGAACAAAGTGAGGCGTAAAATTAATTATGTCTGTGTGGATATCAATTGACAGGCAGCTGACATAGAGGGTAATTAATCAATCGCAGCTGATTGGAAATTGTTCTTTATTTATCTGAAATTGATTGTTTGCGGAATACGAAATTCCTTTGCCATTTTCACACACATAGAACCTTAAAATTAACTTACACTCTTAAAGTTGATTAGAAATAACTGTGTGCGTGTTACAAAAAGTATTTCCTTTGATTACCACTTTTTTGTAAACACAATTTTTTAAATATTTGCAATTATTTCACACTCGATTTAACCTTAAGCAGCTGCAAGTTCAAGTGAAATCTTGTTTGTTATGCTTTCGAAACAATAACAACGCTTGGCGTACTGATTCATCGGGTCATGTTTAAAGTCGAGTCGATGAAAGTATTATTTAGTATTAAGCTTATGACTTTTAAACAGCCAAACCGAGTCTCTATTTGGCTAATAATAAATTTGACATTTTGGAAAGTAATCAAACAAAATGTGGTTTGCCTTTAAAAACGAACTGAATGAGAGCGGCAATTTCAATTTCATGCTATATATTATACCTATGGCTAAACAGCGGCAATCTGTCTGCTCTTTTAATGAGAATCGAGAGAGAGAGATCAGGGAACTGAGCAGCTGGCACTTGATTGCCTCGATCTCGGCTAGAGTCAACCAGAAGATATAAATAAGGAAAGGCAACGCACGCGCGTATTAATTGTTGGCTGTTCTAAACGGCCAGAAGTGCGCTCAACAAATAATTGCAACGAATATTACGCATACGCAGAGTGGTCAATGAACAAAGTGCTGGTTAAAGAAGTGATACAACAAAAAAATGGATCAAAATAGTAAAATACGTGAAAACTATGGCCACAGACGTCAGCCAGCCTTGGGCAAGGCCATGCCAGTAACGGCTCTGCTGTTAAATCTAGAGGTCAATCCTATGGATTACAGAAGAAGTGATGGAGGATCGGAGGTGCTAGAAGAGGATGATAAGCCACCACAGTTGTTCAGTGTGACGGATGAGCCACCCTCGCCCGATGAAGAGGACTTCAGGCCACCCAATCACTATTCGGAAGATCCAAAACTTTCTGGCCATTCGCAGAGGGATACTCCCTGTGCAAATTGCCTGAGAATGGCTCCAGATCACCTGACCGATCGCAACTCGGCCATTAATGAGATGTGCCAGCGCCTGTGTGGTCCCGAATGCAGACAACCCCAAGGCCTCACGCTCGATGGATTTCGACAGGATTTCCTCAGGCAATACGAGATCGCGGAAGCTGTGGCCAAGACCTCGGCCATGACCTCCACCGTTCAGATGAAACAGCGCCTGGCCGCACGAAAACTGGAAATCGAAAAGGAAATGGATGACCAAATGGGCGGGGCCAGCCCCCATAACGATATTAATCTCGGCCAGAGTTCCGCTTCTGCAGCAACTGGAGAGTTTGAGTTTGAGCCGCCCCGCGATCTGCTCTTGTATCTGGTGAGGTGAGACTCAGTGAGACCCAGACTCGTTTCTTACAGGGGCTACCTGTCTGTCTGCCCGTGCTTATAAATCAAGTTCATGGCTGGCAGCGTGTCAAGTGTTCTTAGCCATTGGCCAGGCCTCAAAGCCACTTAGCGGCAATCAACAACAACAAACAGCAGCAGCGTCAACAGATCACCGAGAGCAACAAAAACTAACCTTGCACAATTTGCGCGAAAGTGATCATGACAAAAACTGACAGTATAATGTATATATAGCTGCGCCCCAGGGAAAGAGAAATACGAAATATTTTTTATTTATATTTATTTTATTTTATTATCCCGATGAGACAAGACAGGGTTTTATATTTTACTATATCCTGGGCTTACATATTTAGGATTGTTTTCTTGATTTAAAGAATTACACACGTATATTTAAAATCTCAACATCAATGTGAACCATTCTTACTTCAGTAAACTTTTGTATTTTCTTAAACTTTGTTTGATAATTTTTATAATTTATTAAAAGATTATTACGTCAGAATTAATTATTAATAAAATTAGAAAAAAAAGTAGTAGTTTTAGCATGTAGTCAAAATGGCTTTTCTTTATTGATTATTTAATATACGGATATTTCTTGGCTTTCTAAATTATTTAATTGAATAGGATATTTAGAGCAATAGGACTTTAAATTTATGTCGAATTTTAGAATTTGTAATCAACAGAGTTCCTTTTATTCATTTATTTGCTTTTCTATATTTTTATATTTTCAGTAAAAAATATTTGTATACATTTTTCTTTTCATTAATACATTTTATTTATCTTCTTTTTGCCAAGTCTTCAAAAAGCATTAAGGAAATTTGTGGGGGTTTAAGAAAAATAGTTATACAATTTCAAAAAATTAGGTTTTAATTTCGTTCAGCGGTTTTGGTATCGATTTTGTAAGCTTATCTAACGCACAGCTTAATGGCTTTCCATTAAATGATAACTCATGAGTGATAATTAAATCGCAACCGTGTTGGTGTAAATGGAGTAAAAAGATCCTATCAATGAATACGATAATTGCATTTAGGTCACGAAAGTGTTTCGACACGTGCCAATGGATTGAGTAAAGTTCAACATTCCGCTCCGAGATTAGTGGGCATCTTGCAAGTGGCATTCAGTCTGAGATCAATGAACCAAACCCATACAATATTCTAACCCTGTAATAATTTTGCCTTTCTAGGAATCACAGATGGGGCCGCGTCTCTTTGACATTGCCATACTGACACTTAATATAAAACACTTTAAGTTATCCTAATACCTTAACAAGAAACGAAGAATCCCAGACCAAAAATAAGAAACCGAATAAACTGAAAGTGATATTTTACTTGGACGAGAGTAAAGATAGCAAAAACAGTTCAAAATGGAGTTTCTAATGAAAACATCGCGATTGATCGTCACATCGAAGACTTTCGCGAGACGTGTGGCCGTGCCGATTCCCAGGTAACAAAATCTCCCCCTCGCCGAATCGGTTGCAGATACAGATAAAGATTCTATATATTTCTTGGGGCGGACAGCTCATTACGCATGTAACTGCGTTGCTGTATAAATTGTGCAGATACAATTGTATCTTTTGTCTGTCGTATTAGCATTTGAGAACATTTGGGATTCTGCTTAGGCATACAACACCGCCAGGCATTAGCTAAGGATGCTGGCTCCCTTTTTTTCTCCATTTTGTTGTTTTGTTTTTTGCATGCATATTATATCTCATTCGAGCACTTTTGATTTCATTAACTGATAGCCATTCCCCGCCGCCCTGGCCGCATAAATATTTAACAAGCCCGTCAGTCAGAAACGTTCTTTTGTTTAGCATTTTGGCGGGGCGCTCTCACACGTGAGCCGAACGTATTGATCTCGTTGTGCGGGGTATCTGTATCTTGCAGATACATCTCGTATGCGAAATACCCGTTTGTGCGTGCTCTCCTCGCGATCTTTTCGCTGCCTCGCGATCGTTCTCTGCCCGGCAATGATGTCTCTAATAAAACCCCGCACTTCAGTTGGCATTCAGTTTCGCGAAAGTCGCTTGCAAGCGCACCTCGTTCCGACTCCCCCAGGTTCCAAAAAAAAAAAACTTTAAAAACTAAGTCCGAAATCCTAAAATCCCAAAAATCCCGCAGTTAAAATTCTCGCAGAAATGGAGCAAGAACTGCCGATAAAGCGAGCCAACAAGGCGCCCTGCAAAAACGATCGAAAGGCCTATCTGCAGAAGGTGATGCTGACCAGGTGAGAAGAGGATGTGGTGGGGGGGGTCTCATCTTAGTGGGCATCTGCTCCACCGGCGGGTGATTGATTGCGGTGACAGGCCGAAACCCGTAAGCCCCAAAATCCAGTCTCCATTCGACATCCATATCCATCCCCAGCTGGGAACTGGTTTCAATTCTCTCGCCGAGCAAAGCAAACCAGCCGAACAGCTGCGAAGCTATTGACCGAGCGACATTTTTCGCCTTTGTTTTTGTTTCGCGGGACTGCCATCGCGTGGGCGGCCCACCATCTCATACATCCCCCTCTAAGTCCCCACTAATTCCCCTTTGATTCCCGGTCAGTTCTTGGAATCAGAGCATATGTGATAATTGTCGAGAGCTTCGGTTCACGAATTGGATCCAGAATTAGACATCAGCAATAAAATAGTTTTAGCTATAAGCTATCAGGCCTCACCAGGAGAATAGATTAGATTTACCAAAGGATCAAAAAGGAATTAAAATTACTAAAAAATAACTGAGAGGATTTAAATTTAAAGCTATGAACGTTGAAAATTATTGTAATTATTGTATTATAATACCATATCATATTATAATATGAAAAGCAAAAGTTTCATTGTATCTAGAAATGAATTATCAGCTTTGTGCTTTCGTCTTTATCAGTTTATTTTGGAAAGAAATTTAAACATTTAATTTAAAAAGATCTTAAAATCAAATATATTTTTTTAGCGTCTATACATTTTTAACTTCATTAACACGAATTCTTTCTGGTTTGCTTATGCATATGTTTATTTTACGTGTCGATGTATTTTTTTAAATTTTGAAACTTTATTTAACAATATCTTAACAACATTTTTCTTCCTCCATACACGAAATTTGACACCACCAAATAATTATTTACAGCAAAGTGAAAATGGGAAAATTTTATACGAGTCAGCGGCACAGTCATAGTCTGTTCATTTTCAGCATAATACTGAGAAAAATTTTATATAGAAAACCAAATGCTTTGTGAGTACCAGAAAAAATTGAAATTAAATATATTTCATTGATGTATTTGCTGTTGTTAATTTGGTGTTGTTCGCTGAAAGTTGTTTGTTTGTTGCGAAAAGCTTTTATCAGTTTTATCGATTGAAATGCTAAAAGAAAACATTTAAAGAGGAGCCAATGAAAACATATATTTTGTTGGCTTATTATTTGTGTTTTGTGAGCAATATAATCGAACGTTTGCTTAGCTGAGTTAAATCTCTTTGACAATTATTTGAGACTAATTGAAATGCTGAATCGTTTTCCAGAATGGGCTCATTCAACTCGGCGCCCAAGATCAACAATGTGGACTCGCAGGACGATGGACTGGAGTTGCCCACGGGTCTGAGCACTTTTGCTCTCCTCCAGCATGTCCAGCAATTGCGCGGCGGTGGAATCGAGCAGCCCTCGCTGCTCACCCGCGGCTTCCTGAAACCGCTCCTGGTGCACGAGGATGTCGCCGACGGACTGCGCTGCCTCCAGCTCAACTCCTTGTCGAGGGGTAGGTTTCCATCCTTGTCCTGTCCCAGTGGTATTTTCTAATGTGTCCATGCAGTTTGCAGTGCACCAGTTGAGGGCGATGCCTCGCAGAACATTCGATTGCTACAGTGGAACATTCTTTCGCAGAGTAAGTATTGTAAAACAAGAGAGAACGCTATAGTCGGGTGCCCCGACTATCAGATACCCGTTACTCAGGTAAAGGGAGTGCGAGGGAGATGGAGATAAAAACTTTGATCACGCATAACTTTTTATCGAATGGTCCGATTTGAAAAATTTCTTCTACATTTCGATAGGTATTGATAAACACAATAAAACTGCATTTTTACTTTTCCGAAATATTTAAATTTTTAAAATCGTATATAAGCGATTGTGGGCGTTAAAGGGGGCGTGGCACCTTTTTGAAACAAACTTGCGCTGCGTAGGAACTCCTAAAATCTACATGCAAAATGCCAATCTTCTAGCTTTTATAGTTTCCGAGATCTCAGCGTTCATACGGACAGACAGACGGACAGACGGACAGACGGAGAGACGGACAGACGGACAGACAGACGGACAGACGGACATGGCTAGATCGACTCGGCTAGTGATCCTGATCAAGAATATATATACTTTATAGGGTCGGAAACGCTTCCTTCTAGCTGTTACATACTTTTGCACGAATACAATATACCCTTTTACTCTACGAGTAACGGGTATAATTATCTATTCTAGTCACATTGTATTAGGGTAATGCCATTATCAGAAAAAAAGAACTTTAAGTCCTTTTGCAAATATTTATTTTCTTCCAAGTTTAATTTTTTTAAATTAATAATCCTAGACTAAGGTATTCAATATAATTTTGATCTTAACTAAATAAATAAACATGAGCGGTTACATTGTAATTTTGGATAATAAATCAAAGTTTTTTGACTACATTTGTTTTTAGGTATTCTGAAATCTATAATGACATTAATGTTTAGCAATATCCCTCTAATACGGTTGCTCCTCCCCCAAATTAGCTCTCGGCCAGCACAACGATGGATTTGTGCGTTGTCCCGAGGAGGCGCTCACCTGGGAGCACCGGAAGTACCTGATTGTCCAGGAGATCCTGCAGAACCAGCCCGATGTGATCTGCCTGCAAGTAAGTACACACTACCCCAAATCATCAGGGCAGTAGCACTTTAACGTCTTTTTTGATATATTTAAATAGGAAGTAGACCACTTTAAGTTCCTTCAGACGGTGTTGGGTAGCCAAAATTACGCGGGCATCTTCTTCCCGAAACCGGATTCCCCTTGTCTGTATATCGAGCAGAACAACGGACCCGACGGCTGTGCCATTTTCTATAAGCGTGATAAGCTGGAGTTGCAAGGATATGACACCAGGATCCTGGAGGTGTGGCGGGTGCAGAGTAACCAGGTGGCCATCGCCGCTCGGCTGCGAATGCGCTCCAGCGGTCGGGAGTTCTGTGTGGCCACCACCCACTTGAAGGCCCGACACGGTGCCCTTTTAGCCAAGCTGCGGAACGAACAGGGCCGGGATCTCATACGGTTTGTGAAACAGTTTGCCGGTGAAACTCCTCTGCTGCTGTGCGGTGATTTTAACGCTGAGCCCGTAGAGCCCATCTACGCCACGATCCTGGGCTGCGATCTTCTTCGTCTGGGCAGTGCCTATGCTGATGTGAAGCTGGACCGCGAGGAGATCCTGCAGCCCAGCGAGGATGTGGCTGAGTTCGTGTCGGATTCGATGAAACGAGAGCCACCCTACACCACCTGGAAGATCCGCGAGGAGGGCGAGGAGTGCCACACCATCGACTACGTCTTCTACACTCCCGATCGTCTCAAGGTAGGTTTATAAAGCTGGTTCTAAACGGTTCAGCATCTGCAGAAGCTGCAGTGTCTCATCATGATAATATCATCATTATATGTATATCATCAAAATATTAAAACGGTTTCAATATTTTGTTTAGCATGTTAAGGCTGCCGCTGCACCGTTTACCTGTTTACAATTTGTTCGATATTATATTATGGTTCATTTAAATTTGACTTAATAGCTAGTGACCTTCTATTAAGTAATTTATAAGAGTATTGATTTATTGTTGAGCAATGAATTTAAAATAGTCTCCTTTATTTCAGATCAAAAACTGTCTAGACTTTCCGGCCGGCGAACAGATCGGCAAGAACCGCACGCCCAGCTACCAATATCCATCGGATCACTTTTCCCTGGTGTGCGACTTCGAGCTGCTACCTTCAATGGAAAACGGAAAGGAAAGCGATGGGGAAAATGAAACGGAAGCGGAGGGCAGCAAACATGGATCCATTCAGTAGAAGACTCCGGATTCAGAATTTACCAGAGGAGAAGTTTCAATTACATTACATCGATTGTGATATTAGTTGTTAGATACATTTTAGCCTCATACAAGAGCGTTGCACGACAGTTTGCAGCTTTTACAAATGATAATCCAAAATTCACAATAAATAAATTACTAATATGGAAGAAAGTCAACTAAAATAGTTTTTTTGTGACGATCCTGTGTTGTTTACGAAAATAAGTGTCGTATCATATCTAGATTGACACTTTATAGGAGTTTAAATCATCATGGGGTATATTGCAATTATTAAATAAAATGCACTAACGAATATTTCTTCAGAGTTTTTATAAATAGCTTCGATTCGATTTTTATCTCAAAAAAATTTAAGACTTTTTTAGTCTGCTTGTATCTGAAAACTTAATTTAAAACTCTTTCTCGTTAATTACGCTAGGTTAAGTTCAGAAGGCACTGAACAGATTCCAGTGAATAAAAATAATAATAATAACGAAATTTAAAAATCTTTCCCATATCTGTAAGTTTGTAGTCCGTCGATTTTAATGTTCAGTTAACTAATCTGACAGCACTGGGCGTATACTTGTTCCTCAATTTTAAATACTATAATACTTAAATCTTAAGACTCGTTTTCCTTTATTTCAGTATTATTTTAATAGTTTTGAAAATAATAAAGGTTGGTATGCCTTAACAAAATGTTAATTGTTTATATATATTTACATAGGACATATTATATACGAAGTAATTTTACGAAGTTGGAACACATTTTTGTAATACGAATAAATAAAATTTGAAAAGCCTTGCATACTCTCAGGCGCAGACGTTAAGCATTCTATTAACGAGAGTCGATGATGCGGACCGTATACTTGATTCTATTGCTGGACCTTAAATTGCCTCCCAAATCATCCCACAATTAGAGAACCTCGTATGAATACACCCAAATTATTATAAAACACGCTATTCCGGCAAATTGTACTGAAGAATAAACGAATGTAACGCTTTTAAAGTAAGCAAAATGGGTTGCGTAACACAACAAATAGCATTTTAAATATACACACTACATGTATTTAGTATATAACAATTTTCACATCATGTTCTCACTAGAATTTTATAGATACAGGCAAGGACCTGAGCTTAGAGAAGGGCCAAGATTGCGGTCAGCACAAAAGAGGTGGCGACCATTGCGTAACCGGTCGAGTAGACCTCCTTGATCTTCAGGAATCGCCCGGTGTCCCATAGCAGATGCCGGATGCCATTAGCCGTATGATAGCCTGCCGGATAGGCGATGATGAACTTGAGGGCGGTCAGAGTGGCGCCGCTCAACTGGAGTCCCTCCACCATGGTCACATAGTGGTTGATGTCGTGCGACGAGATCAAGGCACCCAGTCCAAGGCCCCAAACGCCCACTCCCAGGGCCAATCCTGTGCCGCGATGCATGATCGACAGCATGGAGGTCAGCTGCGGCTGGTAGATGGTCAAATGGGGCGACAACTTCCTGCCCAGGCGCTCGTTTTTCTCGAAGAACGACTCGTCCTTCTGGGTTGCGCCCACGGAGACCACCTTCAGCGACACCTGGCGGTTGGCAGCGGCCATTTGGAGGCCCTGGCGCAGCGCCGGCGATCGGATCAGCGAACTGGAGAGTGCATACCTGCAAAAAGCAGTCTTAAATCAGGGTTTTGGCAGTCCCATCTCATAAATTACGTACATTTCCCTGTTTTTCGCTCGAACTTGTATGGGTGGGACCGTACACAACGTGTCCAAAATTACCGCAGGCAATGCTGCCACTATGTTGTAAAAACCCAACGGATTATCGATTATATCAAATAAAACTTAAAAATAAAAAACCGTTTTTAACCTTTTTAAGATTTGAAATTTTAAACTATTAAGGCGCGATGTAAACGTTTAATGTAAACGTGAGAAGAGCAATACCGTATCTAATATATACAAAAGTTATTTTAAGTTATATTAGATGTTTTGTCAATGCCAAGGATTTCGTAAAACGATTTAATTAATTAAGTAAATTTGGAATTACAATTTTTGAAGTTAAGAACTTTATATATAAAATAAAAAAAACAATTTGATAATATCGATAGGCGTAGTAGGCGCTGCCACACCGGCCATTGGCGTTGCCGGACTGTGGGACATCAAGCGAGTTGGCAGTTCATTCGCCATTTTTTCTCGCTCATTCTTTTTGCTATTCAAGTGAGCGCGTGGCAAGTCGTTTCGCTGTGTTCCCGGTCCAGTGCTGTTGTAGTTGCATATTCGCCATCGATTTAGACGCCATCTTCCGACTCCCGAAAACTCACTCACCATGAAGATCTACAAGGATATCATCACCGGCGACGAGATGTTCGCCGACACCTACAAGATGAAGCTGGTGGACGAAGTGATTTATGAGGTGTATGGCAAGCTGATCACCCGCCAAGGCGACGATATAAAACTGGCAGGCGCCAACGCCTCTGCGGAGGAGGCGGACGAGGGCACCGAAATCACCTCGGAGAGCGGTGTGGATGTGGTGATGAACCACCGCCTGACGGAGTGCTTCGCCTTCGGTGATAAGAAATCGTACACCATATACTTGAAGGACTACATGAAGAAGGTACTGGCCAAGCTGGAGGAGAACTCGCCCGACCAGATCGATGTCTTCAAGACCAACATGAACAAGGCCATGAAGGACATCCTCGGCCGTTTCAAGGAGCTGCAGTTTTTCACCGGCGAATCAATGGACTGCGATGGCATGGTGGCCCTGGTGGAATACCGCGAAATCGATGGCAACAGCGTCCCCGTGCTCATGTTCTTCAAGCACGGTCTCGAGGAGGAGAAATGCTAGAACGGATCGCAATCCCCCCGGAGCACACTATACTCATGCATACCTTCTACATATATTTATCAGATGCTTAGTTACAATTTTGAAAGTCTTAAATTTATGTTAACCGATGACGAAAAGCCTGTCCTCAATCTGTGCGATTTTATTTTTGATTTCTTTCGGCCGGAGCTCTCATAAATTCGACTTAATGTATGTTTCTTGTTTCAACCCACACCAAGCTAAACAACTGAATTGCGCCAACAACTATTGTAATTAAATTAATATTTTGATAGCAACAATTCAAATTTTTGTATGCATTTTCGCTTTACCCATACATAAATAGAAAGAAAAAAACTACAATTGGGAACACCAGTACTGAAATTAAACGGAAACCATATACAACTGTAAATCCGCATGCATGTACTTCTTTCCATTTTACAGTTATGCGTAAGTGCGAAAGAGAGGGGCCGTCTGAGTCACGCAGACTTTGGTTTTTTTTTGGGCAATTGCGGAGTTATTGACCTTTGACAGTGATGTACACGTGCCGCCATATATATATATATACGGAGGTCATGCGCACTGGACTACTATTTTCTGCACGCTGCAGTTCCATTTGCCCTAGATTCTCACGTTGCGCTCGCCCTAACCTCAATGTTGGTAACGAAATGCGCCGCTCTCGCCACAATTTAAAAATTCTATAATCTAATTCTAAGGCGGGGAAATCGTTAGTCTTTATCTGCTGGCGGGGTGGTGGCCGGCGTACCAACACAGGTGCAATTTTCATTTCGGCAAAACGTGTCGACCTGTTGCCGTCGTCGCGTGAGAGATGCTTACAGTGAGCACTCGCTGGAATAAGTTTGGCAAAAATCTTTTGCTTAATATGGACCAAAATGTATGTAGTCGGCAACATATAAACATAGAAATAATTCTACCACTTTTATTGCAAATAAAAATATTTTTTTAAATAGTTTGATTAGAAACAACTTTTTTAAACGTAGTGCCCTTAATAAAATATACAACATATTTTTATTTCGTTAATATTAAATCTTTGTAGCTTTCAAATTTTACTTGTGAATGGGTGTTACCACAATTTAATTCTTAATAAACTGCTTATATGAAACCCTAAAATACATACGCAAATTAAATTCAAGTAGCTTGAATCAATAAGAAAAGTAAATAACCATGCACTTATTTTGACTTTTAAAAAAATAGATAGAAGACCACATTTTGAGTTAAAACGGATTTTGTTAACAATTTATATTAGATCCCAAGAAAAAATAATAATTTGATTTGCCATTAAAACGTTATTTTATGTAAAGCATTTTTATGACAATCATTAAAATGTTGTTAAAGGGCTTAGTATTTTGTTATAAACTAGCTGGCAGTTGATAAAATACTTTTCACAAATTATTATGAAAAGAAAAACACCAATTAGGGCTAGAATACGGTACTTTACTATATTAAATAACGGGCACAATTATCTTTTAATCAAACCAAATAGGTTGTGCTACTTTTAATTAAGCAGAAAGTAATTTTAAATTTGTATTAGACCCCACAAACAACTGATGGAAATTATACACTAATATCACCCCAACCAGAATTAAAACTCGTTTTAATTCTGTTTACGTATAAAAATGCTAATAACAAATTAAATTTTATTTCGTTCATAATTTTGATACTTCAAACTGTGGCAAAAACGGTTCTCTTAATGCACTTCCACCGCACAGCGGAATGTCCGTGGAAATGTCAGTCAAATTGAAATATATGCTATTTGTAGGTATGCATGTTTCGGGTTTTGTTCTTTCTGAATTTTAAAAAAAACTTTAAATATATATATTTACTCTTGCACAATTTCATTCGCTTAGCTTACAATTACACTAATGCTCCTCGATATCGACTATCGCATACGTTATGTTATGCTTTCAGTATGTATAGAATGGAATGAATGCTGAACGCATTTCAACAAATACAAACGTTAATAAGTTAACAAAATTCGCAAAATTACTAGTACAACTGAAGATTAAACATTTTGTTTTACTTAGCTTTTGGAGGGGATTTTTGGAAGTGATGGGGAAGTTGTGGCGCCGAAGTAAACTAAAATTTTAAAATAATGTTTGATAACATCGACGCTCTTTCGCACTGCACATAAACATGCAACACGAGTGGCCAAATATACACATCATTGTACAAGGACGCCGGTGGGCGGATCCCATCTGAATCAAACATAATCCAGTTGTATGTAGATCTGCTTCACGCCCACCGCCTCAAAGATCATCCGCGTGTGCGTGACCACGTACTTGGGGTCGACATTCTTGGACACCTCCAACTTGAGGGCTCCCACATAAACATCGGAGCAGAGGGTCCAGAAGTGCGGCTCCTGCACCGCATAGACACCGGCCAATCCCGTGACCTTCTGGTAGCACTGCGGCAGCGATCTGTCCAGGTCGGTCGGCTGGCGCTGCATCAGGATCATTATCGACTCCTTGATTAGGCCCAGCACACTGAGCGCTATCAGCAGGGCGATGAAGATGGAGCAGATTGGGTCCGCAATCATCCAGCCGAACATGTGCATTAGCACTGCCGAGATAATTACGCCCACCGAGCCCAAGGTATCGGCCAGGATGTGCAGGAAAACGCCTCGCATGATCTGCGAGTTGCTGCCCGACATATCTCCATGCGAGTGGCCATGGCTGTTGTGATCGTGTGAGTGCCCATGACCTGGAAAGATTGTAAACATTCAATTAGAAAATAATTATCAGAAACCAATTTATCTAAAAATAACTTGTGAAAAAAAGGTAATTCCTAATCAAAATATCCTAAAAACTGTGCCTAAAAGGAATTGTGTTTTTTAGGCTGTGTAAATATGATTTTGAAGGCTAAAGGCTAATAAATTAACCATTTTCAGTAAAATTTCGAGAGTGAAATTCAAACTTTTTGCCTTCTTTTAGAGCTTAAATATTTCAATAAAACTGCCCGTTACCATTGTCCAAGGTGATGGCCTGGTGATTGTGGTTGTCGGCGTCGTTGTGGCTGTGCGAGTGTCCATGGCCTCCACCGTGGGAGTGCCCGTGACCACCGCCTCCATGCGAGTGGCCGTGCCCGCCGTGATTGAAGGCATAGATTCCCACCAGATTCACCAGCAGCCCCAGCACGGAGACTACAAACAGCCGCTCATGCTTGACTTCCGGCGGCTCAATTAGCCGCTCCACGCCCTCTGACAGGATGAAGAAGGCTATGAACAGCAGGAACAGGCTGTTGACAAACCCGGCCAGCACCTCAGCCCGCACATAACCGTACGAATACTTGTCGTTGGCCTTCCACTTGGTGATAACCGAGGCGGCCAATCCCGCCAAGAGTCCAGTACAGTCGAAGAACATGTGAAACGAGTCGGAGATCAGACCTACGGATTAACCATCAAGGGGGTTATAAAGCCCGGATAAGATAAAAAGCAATTAGGGGCCAAGAACAGAACCAACCTAAACTGTTCGTCGCGATACCGTAGAAGAGTTCAACGAAGGCGAAGCTCAGATTAAGCAGCAAGAAGAGGAAAAGATTCCGGGAGTTGCGGTCGGAAAAGATGAGTCTCTTCCAGCTGTTGAGCTTCTCCCGGACCCTGTAGCCGAAACTACTCCGGTCCTTGTGCGACAGCGGTATCATCTTGCCGGATATGAATCTGCAAAGGCACCCAGATGTATGTTAGGGCAAATACCCACAGATAATACTTATTGTTTGCATACGTGGTATTATCGGGGGCCTATAGGCGCGCTCCAGCTGATTCCGTGATTCCCACTTCGTTTCTGGCCGGGTACGCGAGAATCTTTATCTGCGTGCGGCGGCGACAGCTTTTTGAATCGCGAATTACCTCACAACCTCAACGCTTCCTGCTCGGCGGTCGTCTTGTGTGCACAGTTGTGCGGCGCGGGCTGGTCGATCTTCTAGATTTCGCTAGCTTAATTCATTTTTACTGGCAGCCAGATACTTGAACCGAACCCGTCTTTGCCAGCACCAAACCAATCTGCCGTGTTGTCATCAAAATAAAGGTAACCACGTAAACATATTGGCTGAGTTAAGACCGTTTCGCTGCGAATGGCAAGCACAGTTGGAATCCGCATGAATGTTTATTGGGTAGATTATTCCGCGCAGGGGTGGCAATTCTTTTATTTACATTTAGTAACTTTTTAAAGTTTTACAAGGGCTATTAAAATTATGGTCAAATTTTGTAACCCAGTGCTGTTAATAAAAAGATGCCCGTTTAGCTTAAACATAAAACTTCTAAGCAAATTCTCTAAGCAAATTTTAGAAACGGTTCGTAACGGAAATGATTGGCCAATTTTTCGTAATTTCTTTGTTATGAGTGCCAAATATTTTTTAGCTCAATGCATTGCAGTGGTAATCTTTCTCATATATATGTTGATACACACCACACAAGGATGGACAATGTTTTCTTGTATTGTCAAATAAATTCTAAAGATCCCAAAAAAAGCGGGTGCTCTATTCTTGGGCAAATCAGGTGTGGTCATAGCCGGTTATAGTGAAATATATAGCTATCACTGCCAAGAATCCATAAGTTTGTTAGGTGATTTCCTTCTAATAACAAATTTTCATATCGTTATTATTTATTATTTGACATTTTACTAAGTTAAAAAATCTTTGCTAAAATATTTGATTGAGATCTAAGTAAACATTTCTTATATATTTATAATGATTTTATTTTTGTTTCTTATTAAAAACAAAATTAATTGTTTAACAATGATTTTATACAAAAATTAAATCAAAGGCAGTCCAACATTGAAGTGCTTACTGTTAAACAGACGTGAGCACGTAAAGGGTGAATGCCTTCGGAAAAGAAGAAGTATAAATTCTTATTAGACACAGTCAAGCAAATATTTATTGATATTGTTTTATTAAATTTAATAAAAAACAGGAAGTAAAATATTTAATTGATTAAATTATTAAAGCTGGTTAGTAGTTAAATTATTAATTTTTGAATTCATATGAATTTACACATTTCTGCTAGAATACAAACCATATAAAAATCAATTTTTGTAGTTCTAGCTAAAAATTATTCTCTAAAAATTATTTTGAATAATAACAGTTAGCCTGTTTGGAAACAAAAATATGTATTGCATTTTGAAGTCAAATTGTATTTTATAGACGTAAAAACATAGTACTAAATTATTGATATTATCAATATTACTAAACCAGAAGATTTCAGTTGAACGATTTTGAATACAATTCAGCTTATAAAATCATTGGTCCAGTTAATATTTAAGTCAAATTCTTCTTAATAAGACATCACATTTCGGTTTCATTACCAAAAAAATGGAATGTTCTTAGAACTGACCTATGCATGTACTAATAGTGTTGGCTTACTTAAAAATACTATTCTCTAATGCAGCCGGCAAAAAACCGAAAACCACAGTTTCATGGTTACCCTTTCGGCAAGAGGTCATCATAAAAATAAAACATCACGCAAATGTTCCTTACATCAATAAGAAAGCAAGTTTATTCAACATTTCACACACAGCGGCATAGTAGAGCTCTTGAATACAATCAGTGTTCGATTGTAAAGCGAATGCGACTACAGAGATGCGTTGGGCAAAAGGTAAAACATTTACGCCTCATCACCCTTGGTGGCACGTGTGTAGATGACCTGGGAATGATGCTGCACAACCTGCTTGATCAGACCTGAAAGTGGATAGGATTATAATTAGAAACTGTAAAATAGGATAAGGTTTATATCCGGAAAACATACCCTTCTCGCGCAGCTCAATCAGAGCACGCTTGGCCAGGGAGCCGCGGATCTTCAGACGCTCGGAGACCACCGATGGGGTGATCAGCTTGTAGGCGGGCACTTCCTTGTACAGCTTCTCGTAGGTGGCCTTATCGAACAGCACCTGGTTGTTCAGCTTGTCCCTGACTTTTCCCTTGGACCACTTCTTCTTCTTGGCCTTGCCGCCGCCGGATCCCTCCTTCTTCTTCTGTGTCTTTTGCGGCTGCTTGGCCGAAGACTTTGCGTCCTTCTTAGGCGGCTATCGAAGAAATAAAATAACATTAATATTTGTCACTAATAACAATTTAAATAATTTCCATTGACCACCGAGCAGCACCTGGAGCTGGCCGCTTTCGAGGTTAGGGCATGCTTTTGTTTTTCGCCCGGAATTTCACATTTTCTCTCTTTCGGTGGTCGGTATTTTCATGGCACAGCCCTGGGGCAACAGTTCAGTCATGTTTTCTTTTTGTTTGGAGGCCACTTTCACAGTAAAACACTATTATTTTCACAGAAATCAGTAGCAGCGAACTCACCATCGTGAAAAGTCAATGCAGAAAGATGGAGGGCGGAAACAGTCAGAGTTACCATTCATCGCGAAGAGCTGCACGCTTGCCTATCGATAGTTTGTGCTGGAATTTTTAAAATACTAAAAATAAATGAAGGTAATACAAAATTTTTTTTTTCAAGTTTTGAAATATTACAAAAAACAAAATTTGGAAAATAATAGCGTCAACAAAACTTGAATTGAACTTCGATGTACTGACCATGTTAATTCAAGTTTATTTAATTTTAAACAATTAATATGCTTAATAATAAAATTAAAAATTAAAAAAAAACAATGGCAGAAAGACGACGGTATAATCTGTATAAATATTAAAGTATTTTTAATAAATATAAAATAATTTAATTCATCAAATAATAGAAATGAGACATCGATGACTAATTCAGTGTCTCCTTCAGGGTAGTGTGGCCAGCTGTGAGAAAGTCAAAACCCGCTTACAAATGCCAGGCTTATGGTATTATTGTAATCAGCGGGCACATATTTTGTTCATGTCAAACAAATAAATTTAAATAAAATAATTGGCAATTCAATTGGATGAAATGAAGCAGTTCTGCCGCACCTGCGGCAAGACCATAGTGGCCGATCAGTGTATACAGATCTTCTCGCCCGAGGGCCGAAAACTGCTGCAGTCCGTACGCTCCATAACAAACTGCTGGGTGAGCATAAAAGTTAAAATATAATGGACTCAGTTTCGACTAAAGGTTGTTAACCAACATGCAGCTACAGAATTCCCAGGACATGCCCAATCATGTGTGTCCGGATTGTCAGACGCTGCTCAAGCAGGTCCAAAGATTCCGCCGGCGATGTGCGAAGATCGAGAAATATTTCGCCAGGCGGCGGAGAAGAATGAATCTCGGCGAGGCTCCTGCGGCCGTGGCGCTGCAGCTTCCCGTCCAACAAACACCTGCTCCGGATCCCCTGGGCATCGACGAACTGATGACAGCCAGTGAAATCAAATTGGAACCCAGCCAAAATGGAGCAGGAAACAAATTCTTATCAAGAGTATCAGCACCAAGAAAAAAGCTTCGAAGATGCTCCAGGCGAGGATTCTCTGCCCCTGCCCGAGGACTATGGAGAAGGACAGACTGAAATGGTGGGCGCTTACGATTCCAAGCCGGAACAAGGGAAAATCAAAACCAAAATAAAGTCCAGCAAGCACACAATGCGTATGGGCAGAAAGCTAATCCACGTAAAAGTCATTAACGACAAACAACCGAAGCGCATTGTAGACCGCAATGGACAAAATGCCAAACCATGCATTTGTGAACATTGCGGCCGGCAATTTAAGGACACTAGCAATCTCAATGTTCACCTGCTAAGGCACACGGGCACCAAGCCATTTGAGTGCGAGCAGTGCCACCAGAAATGCTATACCCTCCATCTGTTGCGACGTCACCAGCTGAAGCATACGGAGGGTCCCTACGCCTGCACTTTCTGCGGCCTGGAATACAGCACGAATAGTTCACGTGTGCGGCATGAAAGGTAGGTCAAATTAAAGTTTTTAACGCTGTTTTTACATGGACTTGCATTTCACAGGGAGGCCTGCAAAAAAGGACGAGCGCCGCAGTCTAAGTGGGAGATCATCAAGAAGGGCGAGCGCACTTTCCAGTAAGTTTTTATAGTAAATCATCTATTTTCTTAGCTAACTACTCCGTTTTTTTAGCTGCGAAGTATGTGATTTATGGTTTTTGCGCGCAGGCAACTTCACCCAGCACATTAACTCCTCCAGTCACATGGAAAACGAACGCAAAAAGAAACGTAAATCAAAAACAGTGCAACCCCCTGCCATAAATACATGAAACAACTGCGATTGAAAAACAAGCTCTCGTTTCATTCTGCTTCAAGTATTAGTTCTCCGCCAGTTTTGCGTACGTTCTCCTGGTGCATTTTGCTGTTGCCATGAGTCTTCAGGTTGTACTTGTAACGGAAGTGAACATTGCACACCTCGCACCTGGAAAGATTATGAAGGGATTGTTCCATTTATTATATTTGAGGAAGCGTGAAGAGAAAAAGTTGTTAACCCACCAATATGGACGTTCGCCGGTGTGGATAAGCTCGTGCTCCCGCAGTCGCGTACGCTGGTAGAATCCCTTCAAACAGACGTCGCACTGCAGCGGCCTCTTCTCGTGGGTCATTTCGTGTCGCTTGAGCTTGTTGGGATCGGAGTAACTCTTGCTGCACTGCTTACACTTAAAAGCGTTCGCATCGGTGTGCGACTTGATGTGCCAGCCCAATGCGTATTTGGAAGCGTAATGTTTGTGGCACAGCTTACATTGGTAACGCACGTCATCCCGAGGTTTGGCCATGGGCTTTGGGTTGATTCGCTTCACTATCAGGCGTGGCGCTGCATTATGGACCTCACTAAAAATTAGGAGTGTTCATATCCTTAATATGTATATTGTATACCACCCACCTCTCGTGCTTTTGGCGAGCTCCAGCATAGGCAAACGTTTCGCTGCAAAAACGGCAGGCAAAGGGCGATTCGCCACGGTGACGAATGCGGATGTGTATGTTGCGCATGTACGCGTCGTAGAAGGTCTTCGGGCACTCGCTGCACTGGTAGTTCTTGGTGCGGCTGTGCCGGAGCATGTGGATGCGGAGGTTATGGGACATTCGGAAGGCTTGACCGCACTGGTCGCACACAAAGTTCGGCGGCTTGGCTCGCAGCTGGGCGCGACGTATGAGATTCCTCTCTTCTTTGGTCTTGGGATTGGCCCTGCGCTTTGGCTTTTGCTCGGAAAATGCGGTTTGTCGGAACCTAGACTTCTTGGCAACTGTCGGCTCTTTTTTTAGTTTAGTTCTTTCATGCCCCGTGTATTGGTCTATTAATTCCTTAAAGATCTTAGCCCCTAGAGCCACACTGAGTGGATCCTGTGAGGTGGGCTCATCGGGTTCGATGAATGGCTCTTGACTCAACTGGTCATTCGAATTAGCTTCATCCTCGGCAGGCTCTTCATCTTCTGCGACTTCTTCAATTTCTTCTAAATTTGTGAAGTCTGAATCCGAGCCAAATTCAGGTTCTGATGTCGAAGACTCCTCGTTCAGATCCTTAAGCTCGATTTTAGCTGGCTCCATTTTGTTCAAGGGGTTGGACTGACTGATCTTAAGCTCCGTGCTGATGCACATCTCTCGGAAATCTATGGCCTGGTCTAGGGATAATAAACAAGCAGGGCACATAAGTTGAGGCTCGGCTGGTTTGTGGCTGATCTGAAGGATAATTGAATCAGTAATGCTTAAATCTTTAGGGAAAGTTTATAGGACCAACCCAAACACCGCTAATGACTTCAATGTGGAAGAGCAGAATACTGTTGGCCTGGTCAAAGAGATCCTTTGCCCTGTTGTCCACGACAAAGTCCTGGTAGCAGATGCGACACTTCTCCTCCTTCTCCATCTGAACTCCGCCGATAATTGCATCGTAATCCATTGCTACAGCGTCTGCTAAATCCACATTATCCTGTTCTGGACAGACAACCGTGGACGGTGCTAGAGCACTCGACTTGGACTCATCTTCTGCCAAAAGTTCGGCCACCAGTTTTTGGTTTCTGCGCCGCTGAGTCCTTTCTTTTCGCGCTCTTTCCGAAGGACTTTCCTGGCTTTTGTTTATGCAGGGAACCGCACCCGGTCGCAACGTTCTCTTTTTGGCCAGTCCTGATTGAAATACAAGGAATTAGTTTGCAGTTGCCACTTCTTTGGTATGTAATCGGATGGAACTCACCCATTTCGAACTTTAATGAGCCCTCGATGTCCTCGTCTTTGAAGTGTTCAATGCAAATGCACGGATTCTTCCACTTCAAGGAGACCTCGGTGAAGCCGCAGAATGCGAGCCAAAGTTTGAATGTTTCCGGGCACTTGGGAAACCGGAAGAAGCCGATCTGCTGCTGCTGATCCGGATCCCTTTTAGATTTGCTGACAAAAGCATTCCTGCAATTGGGCACGGCACATCTCATATTTTTAGAAAAGAGTGCGCAATGTTTATTAAAATTATATTTAGCACTAGTTTAGTGTGACCAGCTGTACCAAGAGAATGATGAGTAGAAAGAAAGGTGGTATGGTGGTTACGTCATAAAATTACTTTTGTTATATTAAATTGGAATAATAATTGTCGTTACAAATAGTTTTTATTTAATATTAATGCTACAATGTTAATCACGTCAACCACAGTGTTTTGGGTTAGCTGAAAAATAAAACGCAATCGCTGAGAGCAAATAAAAATAATACAATTTTCAAAAAAAGAAGCAAGCAAACGAAGTTTTCTTTTTTATAGACTTTTTACAAAACATTTAATTTTTATTATGCTACTTTTTTTTATGCATATAAATTTTAGAAAATAGCTAAATAAGCTGTTTTTAAATAAGAAAATTTTCCAGGAATAACATCAGTATCTTTTTATTTGATTTGATTTGCTTGCGAACCAAGGGACTGCAGATGTTAAAATTGTGCACTTGGAATTTTTTGGGATAATTGGGAAGAAAGAATAGCATATTCTGCTGATGATCTGTGTGCTTTTCAACCCACCATAATATGCATTTTACAGAAATTTAAATATACGTACATGGATAAATACATATGAGTAACTAAGACTAATATAAAATATATCATTTAGATTAAATATTAATAATAGAGAGTATAATAGTAAGTTGGTTGTGCCTATTTCTGGGACTTTTCCACCCGGCCAGTCTTGACTCCATTAAGCTTCAGTTTCGGCTCCTGCTTGGCGGGCTTCTTGGACTTCTTTTTCTTCTTCTCGAAGGCGCTGAAGTCGACGGTATCGGAGTCGTCCTCGTTGCCGTACTTCTCCACCAGGCGATCCATCAGGGAGCCGAAGTTGGACTCCCGCTGATTGCGGCGCGCGAGGATCATTTGCTGTAAGTCGCCACCGTTGTCCGCCAGATCCTGGTCATCCTTTTCCTTCTGCCGACGCTCTAGGCGCTTCTTGATAACCTTGGCTTCTTTGAACTCGCGTGCGTACTTCTGGTGTCGCTTCTTGCGCTTGGCGACCGGCTCCTCGGTGAAGATCTTGTACTCGGGCACCTCGCCACTGGCAATCATCGTTTCGACGATCTTCTGGATGCGCGGCTCGTCCTCCACTTTCATGAAGGGAACATGGTTCATGAGGTAGTTGATGCATCCCTTCCCGCCCAGGTACGCCTTCTTTACGTCCGTCCGCTCCAGCTCGGAGTCCACATACTCCTTCTCGTAATTGTTGATGTCCTCCTCGGAGATGGGCTTGAAGATCTTGCTCCAGAGGTCCAACCACGACGACAGCTTGGACTCCGCCTCATCGTCGTCATCGATCACGCCCTGCTCGTCGTATAGGGCACGCTTTTGCGAGTCGGTCAGCACTTGGTAGAGCTTCGATAGCACCTTGAACTTCTCGGTGGCCTCCTCTTTTTGCTCTTCCGGCACTCGGTCGGGATGAACCAGCAGGGACAGCTTGTGGTAAGCCTTCTTTACCTCCTTCTCAGCAGCGCCTTTGGCCAGGCTCATAAGCTGGTACACGTCCTTCGTCCCAAAGTACTTTTCGCAGAGATCCAGCGTCGACATTGCGAATTTTGTTGGTTTTATTTTTCACCACAAGCACTACCACAAAATGCGCCAAAACGCCAAAGAAGTGTGACAGGGCGAGGGATGGACAAAAATCCTGATTCAGTGACAGTGGTTCTAAAATTTGCTATATTTATTTTGTTAAGGCCTTTCGCACTTATAAATGTCAACTGAGTTTTTTTTTTTTTGGTAGTGCTAAATAAAAAACATACAATGAAAATACAAAGTGTTTCAGAAGAACAGTTGTTTCAAAATATATCCAAATATAAACTTTATGGGACCACAAACATGTTTTATTTTTATATTTCGTTGTTTTTTTCCAATTTATAGCTAAACTGAGCTTTGATATTGCGGTTGATATCTGGTTATTTAATTGCTGAAATTTTTACAAAATGGTTCAATCAGTCGTTAAGGGAATACAAAAATGATTTCATATCAGCAATTTAGTTTATTTTGTATAAATTAATAGATATACAAATAAATTACCGTATGATGACCTATAATTAATACATTTTTCTATAGAATGCTTTGATACAACAATGTACCCACCTACTTTGAAATCAGATTAATTGTAACATTTAAATTATGATTTTTACAGAGAATTAAAATTAAATAACCAATTTTTAATGCTGGCCAGTTAACAGAGCCAAACCGAAAAGGACACAAATGGGTTGAGCACGAACTATGGTTAGCATAGATCAAAACCAAGGTTTGTCTCAGACATATGTTCTGTTAAGAGTAATTTTTAATACATAATTTAAACCGAAGGCAGCCACACTGCCATCAAATCGCAGCCAACTTCACTTCGCCGGGCAGCACTTCCCTTCTTTTCGTTTTCATCGTCTGAAGAGAACAGACATGGTAAGTTTCAGCTCACTAAAATGGGGTAAAATAAGTGAACAGTAAAGTGTTGGATGGTTCAAGTACATCAATTATGTAAAATGCCGAGAAATACTAGCGGTTGCTTGCACCTAATGACGTTTAGATGCATGCGAAGTTGTTTTATTTTGATAAATTGCGAATGCAACATCCACGTGTTCACCTAACCTTAAAGTGAAAAATGCACAGTTGCTGATGGTTTTTTCAACTTATTTTACAGTCGCATCGCAAGTTCTCAGCGCCTCGCCATGGCTCCATGGCCTTCTACCCCAAGAAGCGCTCAGCTCGCCACCGCGGCAAGGTTAAGGCCTTCCCCAAGGACGACGCCAGCAAGCCCGTCCATCTGACTTGCTTCATCGGCTACAAGGCCGGCATGACGCACATCGTCCGCGAGGCCGATCGTCCTGGATCCAGTAAGTACTCACTTTCACCTAAAGACTTCCGAAACTACACCCCTTCCATGATGAGTAAACTAGAAGATTTATGGTTAGAACACAACTGATTAACCGTGATTATCTCAACTAGGGCGGACTGATTAAGCTCATAGCTAGTTTATCATTGTAGAAAATATAGTGGCATGATATTAAAGGAGTTATTTTCTTCATTTACAGAGATCAACAAGAAGGAGGTGGTCGAGGCCGTCACCGTTCTGGAGACCCCGCCCATGATTGTGGTCGGTGCCGTCGGCTACATCGAGACTCCCTTCGGTCTGCGTGCCCTGGTCAATGTCTGGGCCCAGCATCTGTCCGAGGAGTGCCGTCGTCGCTTCTACAAGAACTGGTATGTATCGAGGACCACGTGTCTGCCCCACTCTCGTCGCCATTTTGTTTGTCCCCGGGTGTATACACACACATACACCAACCACGTGTTTTCTACTAGAGTCTGGATGATGATACGATGGTATCTGAAAGAGCAAACATTGTTGAGAAGCCTTCTACCATCTGCTGCCTTCCTTCTGATCGGCCTCCTAGAAAACTCTTGGTTGGTTTTGTACTTCAAATTTTATGAAATATCTTTTTTAATTATTAGATTTTTTAAATGTGTAATGAAATTTATAAGATTTTTAAGTGTACAACCCGGTGTGTAAACTGCCCTTAAAGAAACCCATTCAATTTAAAGAAACCCATTATTAAATGCAAAATGCAATCATAAAGTTCTTCGATCAGCTTGCTGAGAGAGCTTTTTAAATCGCTGAAAGTTGTGTGAGCTGTCAGTTTTTTGGTCTGGGGCCCAGCCCCTGGTTGACTGAAATTACTTGACGAGTGAGCACGACACGGAAGACTGCATCTCCGCTCGCCATTTGTTGCGATGAGGTGCACTTCCTGTTCTATCTCGCCCCACATAAACAGCGCGGCTAAGAAGTTGGAGTTGTTGAGACACCCCAATGGATTGCATCATGTCGCTCGTTTCTGACCATTGCATCTTCAACTTGACCATCGTCTACCAGGTACAAGAGCAAGAAGAAGGCCTTCACCAAGGCCAGCAAGAAGTGGACCGATGATCTCGGCAAGAAGAGCATCGAGAATGACTTCCGCAAGATGCTGCGTTACTGCAAGGTGATCCGTGTGATTGCCCACTCGCAGGTAAATATCAACTTCCCTAGTATTCCTTATTCACGACGTCCTTGGCCTTGTTGTGCCATTGGTGCTGGACCCTCGGGCTCGGTGCCTATGGTGCGCCTGGCCTAAAAAGCATCTTCGCTGTGGTTTTCAATGCACAGTTTAGGGATGCAACGTCGCAGAGCAAACTGCCCCTCGGGTGGCGGAGCTTGATATATTCCAGTAACGGTGCGGAGCCGCTCAGGCGATGATAGCGCGGTTAAACCATATCACGCACAGTCCCACAAAACAACCTACAATTGGGTGAAACTAACTTCAAATCTTTTCTCCCTTTATAGATCCGCTTGATCAAGCAGCGCCAAAAGAAGGCCCATGTCATGGAGATCCAGCTGAACGGTGGCTCCATCGAGGACAAGGTCAAGTGGGCTCGTGAGCACTTGGAGAAGCCCATTCAGGTCAGCAACGTGTTCGGTCAGGACGAGATGGTCGACTGCGTCGGCGTGACCAAGGGTAAGGGATTCAAGGGTGTCACCTCACGTTGGCACACCAAGAAGCTGCCCCGCAAGACGCACAAGGGTCTGCGCAAGGTGGCCTGTATTGGAGCCTGGCATCCGTCGCGTGTGTCCACCACCGTGGCTCGTGCTGGTCAGAAGGGTTACCACCACCGTACCGAGATCAACAAGAAGATCTACCGCATCGGTGCTGGCATCCACACCAAGGACGGCAAGGTAAGCAGTAGTAGCTATCAATTGCTTAGCAATAATCTTAAATTCGGCTATCAAAATCTGTTGCTCTGATGATAAAAAACCAAATAACAACGACATCGAAACTAAAAAAAACTTGATGAACCGTGATATTTATAATGATAGGACTGATCACAGATCTTAGCCAAATAAGATGAAATACCTAATGTTTTTCCCAAGATTACAAGTAGACTGACCCCATATTTCTCACTTGCAGGTCATCAAGAACAACGCTTCCACTGAGTACGATCTGACCGACAAGAGCATCACCCCCATGGGTGGCTTCCCCCACTACGGTGAGGTCAACAACGACTTCGTCATGATCAAGGGCTGCTGCATCGGCTCCAAGAAGCGCATCATCACCCTGCGCAAGTCCCTGCTGAAGCACACCAAGCGCTCGGCCCTGGAGCAGATCAAGCTCAAGTTCATCGACACCTCGTCGAAGATGGGTCATGGTCGCTTCCAGACCCCTGCCGACAAGCTGGCCTTCATGGGTCCGCTGAAGAAGGATCGTCTCAAGGAGGAGGCCGCCGCTACCGCAGCTGCTGCCGCCGCCGCCACCACCACCTCGGCTTAAGCAAAATGTTGTCAACGCTTAGTTGTCTGCTTGTTTCTACCGCCTACTGCTGCGGTAGGGCAGCGATCAATAAAAAGATTTTGGCTAAGCTAATATAATCAATGTCTTAAATTCGATCAACTGGGGAAAGACTGCTTCTACTTGCAATATTTCGCTTTATTACTCTAAATATTATCGATTCGGATCAGAGTTAACTTTAATATCCATTGTCTCAATATATTTGAATCACTTGGGTCGATTTTATTATAGATGTGGTATTCGCTTAATCATTGGCAAAATTAAATTGTAAATAGATTAGATTTAAATTTATTTGTTAGAACATCTTAGAGCTACAAGTTTTATAAACTTATTAGGGTACTAGTAATTGTTTATAATAAATAGAAAAAAGTAAACCTGAACCCGTTTCTCCTTAATTCTAACAACAAAAACCACAGTTGTAGAGTTCAGCTCTTAATATCCGCATAAGCTTTATATAAAAAGAAAAGTCATTAATCAAGCCATTATACATATATCAGTTCCTAAAACAGTTGGCTGCCGTCGACGACCTTCTCGTTGTCATATATCTCCTTGGCGTAGCACAGGTTGGGATAGTCGAAGGCGGCGCCATAGCGGTTCTTGCAGCCGGTAGTGGACTTCTCGCCGGGAGTGTACACGGGCTGACCCACGATGTTGGAGGTGGCGAAGTTGCAGGTGAGCACAAAGTGGTTGTAGAAGTCGCGAGAGAAGCGCACAGCGGCACAGCGGCACAGCCCACATGGGTGTTCTTCTCGGCCACGGCGATGGTGAACTTGGCCACTGCCTTGTTGGGCAGCTCTTCGGGGAAGCTGGCCAGGATCTCAGGGGAGGCATTAAGGCGCTCGGCGAACCAGTTCTCGATCTGCTCCTTAATTATCTCGGAGTCGGTATACTCGCTCTCCGCTCCACTGTAGTGGAAGATGGCGTTGTTCTGGCCGGCATAGGCGAACCTCTCCGTGCTGCGACACTTGTCTGGCAAGGATTCACAGGTCTTTACGTTGAGCAGGGCCAGGTGAGACAGCTCCTCGCACCAGGACATCTTGGCCATCCGAACGGCTTTAGGGAGGCCTTCAATTGTCCCACCTGCCACATTGTTGCGAAGCTCGTTGAACAGGGATAAAATCAACTTATGATGGGCATTGATTTTAACTTCTCGGACATCCTTGGGGCAGTTCTCACTAAAGTTCTGGTGGGGAGAGGGTTAATAACAAAAGGGATTGATTCCCATTACTTACCCCTTTGTTATTGCAGGCAACATGCTTATCCAGACATGTGGGCAGGGCACAATAGTCCACAGCTATGGCGGTACCAAACAAAACGGAACCAAAAGCCAGGAGCAGGACACCAGTTGTCATGTTAAAAGACTTTGCTTGAATTGCTCTTGACTTGAGACTGTCAAAACAGGCTTCAATGTGCGGTTTTTATAGCAGGTTGGAGCCCAGCCTAGTTAAATTACTACCATGATTATTAAGAATTTTGAGTTGGAAACAGTGATTCCTCCGAAAACAGCTGCCCATTTCGCAGTTAATTATTGCAACTCGAGGAATATGGCAGCAGTCTTCCATAAATAGAGACCCGCAACTATTGGCACTTCAGTGGGAAACCAACTGCGAAGAACACCATGAAGACTATCTTTGTACTAGCCTTCCTAATCGGAGCTACAATTGCCGTGGACTACTGTGCCCTACCCACATGTCTGGATAAGCATATTGCCTGCAACAACAAAGGGGTAAGATATGCCAATTAATGCCCTTCGATACTCATCCCTTTTCCACCAGAACTTTAGTGAGAACTGCCCAAAGGATGTCCGAGAAGTGAAAATTGATGCCCATCACAAGTTGATCTTATCCCTGTTCAACGAACTCCGTAACAATGTGGCAGGAGGTATAATGGAAGGCCTTCCCAAAGCCATTCGAATGGCCAAGATGTCCTGGTGCGAGGAGCTGTCTCACCTGGCCTTGCTCAACGTAAAGACCTGTGAATCCCTGCCAGACAAGTGTCGCAGCACGGAGAGGTTCGCCTATGCCGGCCAGAACAACGCCATATTTCACTACAGTGGAGCGGAGAGCGAGTATACCGACTCCGAGATAATTAAGGAGCAGATCGAGAACTGGTTCGCCGAGCGCCTTAATGCCTCCCCTGAGATCCTGGCCAGCTTCCCCGAGGAGCTGCCCAACAAGGCAGTGGCCAAGTTCACCATCGCCGTGGCCGAGAAGAACACCCATGTGGGCTGTGCCGCTGTGCGCTTCTCTCGCGACTTCTACAACCACTTTGTGCTCACCTGCAACTTCGCCACCTCCAACATCGTGGGTCAGCCCGTGTACACTCCCGGCGAGAAGTCCACCACCGGCTGCAAGAACCGCTATGGCGCCGCCTTCGACTATCCCAACCTGTGCTACGCCAAGGAGATCTATGACAACGAGAAGGTCGTCGAGGGCACTCAAGTGTTGTAGGCATCGATCAAATTGGATTGACAGAATAATTAGAAAAATATAATGGGGCTATATGGTTCACCTTTTTAACTTTTGTAGTAATATGCAACAGGAATAAATTCAAAATAAGTAAATAACGGCTTTTCAATATCCCATCAGCTGTTTTACCAGCAAGTGGACAGCCCTGTTCGGGAAAATTTAAATACCCTTTATTTCAGAAGAGAGAAGGCATATTGAGTTAAATTTAATTCCTTGTAAAAGAAAGTATCTGGCAAAATAAATACGTATCCACTTATAATATCTTTAAATTGATAATCTAGTTTTGTATGGTGCCTTACGACTCATTTAGGAAAAGAGTTTAGCATCTTATGTTATCAAATGAAAAATTAATACAGGGTGTCTCATGGTCGAGCAGAGGAGGTGCTCACTTTTCATATGTTTCTGTAGGAAATTTTTTAGCCGGTTCGAGATGTTACGCGAAGTTTTAAAGATCGGCAGCAGGCGCTGTTATAGCTACAAGTCCGTCCGTCGTCCCAGTTTGGGTGCCACCAGTCCTCCAAAGGTGGAGGCAACAAAGGAACAGTCAGGATCATCTCCTACAATAGAAAACGGACATGGCAGCCTTTCCAAACAGTTGCGGGCCAGGATTCTGGCAACTGGACCCATTCCTGTGGCGGAATATATGCGCGAGGTGCTGACTAATCCTCAAGCGGGTTACTATATGAACCGGGATGTGTTCGGGCGAGAGGGTGATTTTATAACATCGCCGGAAATATCGCAGATCTTTGGAGAGGTAAGCTACAAAGCATATCTCCATTAGTATGGCTCAAGGTAACCTTTTATTCCCCAAAGCTCGTCGGGATCTGGTTGGTGAGCGAGTGGCGCAAGATGGGTAGTCCCTCACCCTTTCAACTGGTGGAATTGGGACCCGGGCGTGGCACCCTGGCCAGGGATGTGCTAAAAGTTATCACCAAATTCAAGCTGGGCGCCGAGTTTTCCATGCACATGGTGGAGGTTAGTCCGTTTCTGAGCAAGGCACAAGCACAGCGATTCTGCTACTCCCACGAAACGGTACCAGAGGATTCGCAGTTGCCTCATTACCAAGTGGGTACCACGGCCACTGGTACGAAAGCCTTTTGGCATCGCCGACTGGAGGATGTGCCTCAGGGATTCTCCCTAGTGCTGGCCCATGAATTCTTCGACGCATTGCCCGTGCACAAGCTGCAACTGGCCGGTAATAAGTGGCAGGAGGTGCTTATCGATGTGGCTTCTGAGGGGGAGAAGGACTTCCGATATGTGCTATCACGCAGTCAAACTCCAGTATCGAGTGTTTTCCGTCCAATGCCTGATGAGACGCGCTCCTGTTTGGAATACTCCCTGGAGACAGAACGACAGGTGGGACTCCTGGCAGAGCGCATTCAACGGGATGGAGGCATTGCTTTAATTATGGATTATGGACATTTTGGTGAGAAAACCGACACTTTCCGGGCCTTCAAGCAACACCAGCTACACAATCCCTTGCTAGAGCCGGGCAGCGCTGATCTCACGGCCGATGTGGACTTTAAGTTGGTGCGGCATACCGCTGAGACGCGCGGAAATATCCACTGCTGCGGGCCCGTGGAGCAGGGACTATTCCTGCAACGGATGCAGGGAGAAGCTCGGCTGGAGCAGCTGGTGTCACACGCGCTGCCCGAGAACCAGGAGATCATTCGCTCTGGCTACAAGATGCTAACGGATCCGGAGCAAATGGGCAGCCGCTTCAAGTTCCTGGCAATGTTTCCCGGCGTGCTGGCAAACCATCTGAATAAATATCCCGTCGTCGGATTTAGTTAGTTTTAAAAGTAAGGTCTGATTTTATGGTTTTGAATATGTTGCACATGATTGTTAAACAAAATACGAATTCTATTTCTTTTGGAATGATGCATTGATCGCCTGCATCTCTGCGGTGGTAAATTGGAGCACCGCCGAGATGGCGTTTAGCATGTGGCGCTTGCCGTCCGCATCCCGGGTCACAATGTAGCTGATGATCACGTTCTTCAGGTACTCCAGATTAGCGCCCTCGCGCGTCTTGCAGCGCTCGAGTCTGAAATGAAAAAGGACAATGCGTTACTACTTGTTTAATATAGAGTGCGACATAGCTCCACCTGTCCACCTGCTCTTCCAGGCATTCGATCTTCTCATGCATCTCCTGCTGTGAGGTGACCTTGTCCTGGATGGCCTTCCTCAACGTGGACTCGGCCGCATACTTGGCCTTGCGCAGGGTGGTGATCTCGATGTCCTTTCGGGCCAACTCGTTGGCATAATGCAGCATGTGGCAGTTCTCGCCCAGTGACATTTTCTTTGAGCGCACCTTTAGCTTGCGCTCACGCTGCTCACCCTCTACCTCGACGCTGTCGGCATCGGAGGAGTAGTTAAAAGATTCTGCGGCGGCTTCTAGTGTGGGAGTGGCTAGAGTGCTGCCCACGCCACTGGCCGAGTGAAATACCTCGAAAGAAGTCTGCAGTGTCTTGATCTCCTGTTCCTTCTCATCGAGAAGCTGCAGCGATCTCTGACGCTGCTTTTGCAAAAGTTGCTCCAGTTCGTTAAGCTTGCAGCGTGTTTCGTTCTCCAGGTCCGCCTTTGCTTCCTGCCATTTGGTTCGCTCACTCTTCAAGGCCAAGCGCAGTTTCTCGCCCTGCTGTTTCAGATCGATTTCCGCCTCGTCGATGTTACGATTGAGCACCTGCACCTTCTCCTGGAGCGTCTGAATGTGCGAGTGCTGGAGCTGAACCTTTTGTTCGAGTAATTGGCGCTGCTGTTTGGATGCTTCTAGCATTTGCTGAGCTCCCTGAAGCTGTTGCTCGCAATGGGCGTGGCTTTCCGCTCGCGTCGATGTTTGGCCGCTTAGAGAGAGGATCTCACCGAGATCCAATGGATTGGCGGATCGGGCATTGGCACTGGTAAGCAGTTTCTTTAAGCGCACCATCTCGTCCACCAGCGTGGCCACATCCACATCTTCATTAAGAGTTTTTGAATTGGACGTGGGACGCACGTGGGCCTGCTCTAGGTCCTGCAGCTGTTGTTTCAAGGCATGGATGCTATCCTGATCCTGCTGACGCAGGCGATCGTAGCTGCCTACAGTAGTGCTGAGCTCCGCCAGGCGCGCCTCCAAACTGGCCACACGATCCTCGTGGAGAGCCGCCTGCCTGCGACTCTGATCCTCTGCCCGCAGGACACGTCGCTGTTCCTGGCGAATGGCCACCGCATGCTGCTCCTTTAGCTGCTGCATCTCCAGGCGCACTTGTTGCAGCAGAGCAGCACTATCCGCACTGGCGGCCGCAGCTGCAGACTGCTCCGCCTTGGTTTGGAATTGCTTTAGCTGCGATCGTGCCTCTTTTAATTGGAATTGCAGTTCCCGCAGGCGACTGTTCTCTGCCTCGTTGCTGACGAACTGCGTCTTAAAATTGTTCAGTTGCATCTCGATGTTGTCCTTCAGATGGCGCTCGTCGGCATAAAGCTTCTGCAGCTCGCGGATCATAAGCATCTGGTTGTTGGTCTCCTTCTCGCGTTCCTGCCGCTCCACAATCCACTTGGCCTTGACCTCGTCCACATCACTTTTGGCACGCGCGGTCTGTTCCTTGGCGCGCACATGGAGTTCCTGGATGGACTGCTCCTTTTGAGCGATTTGGCTGCGCAGTTGCTTCTTATCTGCCTGGAAGGAGGCCTCCATGCGGGATTTCTCGGCGGAGAGCGTTGCCAGGGAGTTCATCAGCGTGATGATCTGGGTCTGCAGTTGGCCCTCGGCTTGAGGGGCTGGTGGACCTGAGGCACCCTCGCCCGCGCCATCCGTTGAATCTGGTGTCTTACTGTTGCTTTGGGACTCCACGTCCCTGGCCGGGGATCCGTTTTCGCCCACCGCCGTGGCCTCCGCGTGCGCCGCCAGACTCGTCTCCAGCGCCTCCTTCTCCTTCAGCAGACCTTTGTAGGCAGTGACCACGTCTGCAAATTATTTAATCACTCAGAGTACACTGCAAGATCGCCAATGCAATTGTTTACCTTTCAGACGCTTCTCGTAGCGCCCTAGTTGCTCCTTCTGCGTGGAGACCAACGCCTCCAATTCCCTTTGCCTCTTCTCCATCTCGTTTTAAATTTTAATAATTCGCTTAACTTTTAGTTGGCTTATTCATTGAATTTACTTCTTTCCCGTGGCATTTTTGCATTTCCTTCAATTAACAAATTTTGGCAGCTGGCAGGTGGGGCTGCCAACTAGTCGGAATTGCTGAGCAACTAAAAATTACCGGTGATGTGATTTTAAAAAAATTAAAATGATTTTATTTTGAGTTTTTAGATTCTGACTAAATATAGTACTATAAATAGTTACCTAATGAATGCCAAGGGATTTTAACTTTTAAAATGTATTCATTGTAGTCAATTACAAAAGGTAGAAAGTAAGAATGCATATTTAAACTACAGCCCATATAAATAGAGTTTAAAAATGTGTATTTCCACAGGAAAATTAATTTGGCATTTTAAAAAACTAGCTAGATTATTATTTTAAGCAAATTTATTTCTTATCTTTAATTTTAACGAAAATTTCGTTTTTAGATTAAGAAAATATTTGTTGATTTCTCGTTAAAGTAAGTAAATTAAATTATATTAAAAAAAATTGAAATTATATGTTGAAGGGTTTTTTAAAATAGAAACTATGTTCGATTTTCTTTAGACTATGGTACAATGGTTTCTGAAAACAAGGTTTTGCTGTTTTTTGGCATTTTTTTTCAGAACACAGAGGTATTTATAAATACATTTTTTGTGGTGTTCTTTTTACTGAAACCAAAATATCATTTCTTCTTATTAATAAAACGAGGATGCTTTTCAGCTTTGTTTAGCTAAACCACTGAAAAAATCCGAAATAAGATTAACTAATTTGGAGTTTATTCATTTCCCTCCTCCTCCTTCATCATCTGCTCTATTAGCCGCTTCCGCTCCTCAGCCTGGCGCATCTTGCGCATGACCAGGTCTTCGTAATCCGTCGATGAGGCAGCGCTCCCGGCGGTGGATCCCTTGGATGGCTGCTTCTCTTCCGCCGGCGGTGTCACCCATTCGAAGTGCAGTGGCTTGGCGGGATCGCCCTTTTCGTAGGCCAACACCATGTCACAGGCTTCACGGGTGGCCAGCTCTACCATGGCGCGTCCCCGTCGCTTGCTGTTGACCACCAGGGCCACCACATCGCCGTACTTCTTGAGGTACTTGAGCAGCTGATCCTGCGTGTAATCCTGCCCGGCCTCAGCCTTCCACTTCATCTTGATGCGATGCTGGGCGGAATCGAACTGGGCCGGCTGTTGCAGGAGTCTCTGCTTCTCGGCGTGATTGCGGCGAAACTGCTCCTGCATGGCCCGCTGCTCCTCCTCCAGCAGACGGGATCCCTCGCGTCTTAACCGCTCAATTTGCTCTTGGAGCAGCTCCTCGTCGCTTTTGGCCACCGTGCTGTAGGGTTGACTCTTAGCCAGCTTGTGAAGTGCCGCCCGTTCCCGTTCCTCCAACTCCTGCTTAAGTTTCTGCCGCTTCCCATCCAACTGGCGACTCCTCAATTCCGCCGCCTTCTTGGCTTTGAGCACTTTGTCATAGGCTGCCCGGGCGGACTCATCGGTGAGGATCTCGAGGGCCTTGGACAACTCGTGGAAGCGCTCGACCGCCTGTGGATTGTCCGGATTCTTGTCGGGATGGCAATCGAGGGCCCGTTTTCGGTATGCCTTGCGTATCTCATTTTGGTCAGCCTCCAGGGAAATGCCCAAAAGATCGTACAGATTGATGTCACTGAATTTTTTGCTTGCCATTTTGTGGATGTGTATTTTTTAGATATAAATGTTTGAGTATTATAAAATATACCCTTGAAATAGGTAATTGCCAATAAAGAATCTGCTTAGCCAAATTAATCTGTTTTGTGAGACTATTTCGCGAAACTACTTAACTTTTTTAGGCAGCTAGAAATAAACGTACTAGCTAGCTATAAATAAAATAATATATGCCGGTTTAATGCATTATATAGCCCTTTTTCTTATTTCACAACAGCAGCCGGCTTGCAAAAACAAATGAGAAATAAAATTATTGCTCGGCCAATTGTTTACCAGATCAGCTGTTGTGTGCAACGAGTTGGCAGCACTGCAACACAACGTGCCTATTTGTTTGGCGTGAATTTATCTTAATCCTCACATTAAACCCTACATATAATGAATTCAAACCCTTAAAACAAGAAGAAAGTACGTCATGAGCATCTATCACGACGAAGTGGAAATCGAGGATTTTGAGTACGACGAAGAGGAGGAGATGTACTACTATCCCTGTCCTTGCGGCGATCGATTTCAGATCTCCAAGGTAACAAGGCGTATACGCAACGATTTCAGACCTTTTATAATTTGATGTTGTACTTCAGGAGGAACTGATCGAGGGTGAGGAGGTTGCCACCTGTCCCAGTTGCTCGCTAGTCATCAAGGTCATATACGATCCGGTAAGTGGCTCATCCAAATCAACTAGAAACCACCCACTCACAGATTGGAATATTTTAGGACATGTTCAAGGCAGAGGAAGATGAGGAATCCGTCCTGAACGAGAAACTTAGCGACTTGAAGCTGGAGAAGAACTAAAACTAACTTTTTGGTGTAATTAAATAGTTTTTATTTATATATTTTTATATAGACTCCATTTTAGTGTAAATAATACGTTGACTAGTAAAACAATGAATTCAAAATATGCAAGCTCGCGGAAACATTTCGATTTGTTATGGATTATTCGTTATTGGGTGAACTACAAATAATTTATACACACATTGTACAATATCTAGAATTAAAACAAAGGGTTAATACATTCAACTGAGCACTTTTTGGTCTAAGTGTTTTACAAGCAGAGCCCAATATGATAACCAACGTAAAGTGGCAATTTGGAAACACAAATTAAAGGAACTGTGGTGTACCAAGTGTGGAAATGTGAGTAATACATAGAGTTACATACAGTGGGAAGCGGTTGAAAAAATATATATATAACATACAGTTTACCACTTTCTTCTTACGGCTTAGGAATTCGACTTAAACTTTGCCTTAAATATTGTTACGGTTTGTCATGTAGCAACCAGGGGTTTGGCTTTTCTCGGCTTCTGATTTCTTTTAGAGAGCATGCTCGTTCAGCAAGTGAGTGAAGAAGGTCTTCATCCTTTCGATGCGTTTAAATGCCGTTTGCAATGTTTCGAGTGTGGGAGGGATTCTAATACTGATTCTACTGTTCCAGCCAGGATCCTGTGACGGCATTCGGTGACTTAAGCTGCAGTGAAAAGAATTTAATATTTAAATGCTTTAACAATAGTTTGCCAATCTCACCCTTTATGTTGAACTGCTTTAGAGTGCTTTCCAGTGCCATAGCATTGCCCGAGAAATAAGCAGCAATGGCATTGTGCAGCAGAATCAGTTGCTTGTGCATCACTTTAATCTGTTGGCAAAATATCGGGGATAAATCTAAATGACGCCGCGTTTTCGTATGGTTTAACAACTTACGCGATTCTCGTCAAGAAATTGCATTTTAACCGCCACGTCAGAGCGCAGCTTCTCGTATTGCTCCTTGTGCTGTGCATAGCTGCGCTGGGTCTCCTCCAAGGCTGCGGCCGAGGGCGTTAACTCCGGCTTGGTGTTTTCTAAGTCCATGCGATAGGCATCAAATTCGATTCTAAAAGCCAATCAGCAACATAGTTTTTTAAGAACAACGAAAATTATTAGCAAAAAAGTAAAGCTTGAAATAGGTTAACTTCTTTTATTTAACCGCAGTTGAAGTGACTAAAAGTGAACTTTTTCAAGAAAGTAGGGTTAAGTTAAAACTCTTATAGCAAACACATGAAAAAATGTAATTCCGTTCCATATAGGGGTTGCTATTTCTATAACCGGAATTATTTATTCGTAACGTTCAAATTTTTATTTTCCAAAAAAAGTGTTTTAGTAACACAAGCATGTACTTTGAAATTTGGTTAATCGCAAATTTTGAAGAACTTATATCATTGCTTATAGGGATTTAATAGCAATAAAGCTCAACATAACGCGAAATAAGGAGGAATATTAATTTTAACAAAAGGATTAATGGACTAGTGTTACCTGGCTGTTTCATATTGTCGTATCGTCAGCAGCGTGTCGTCGATCGTCTTGTTGCACAGCGTGTTAACCGATGAAATGAAGAAGTTGAGTGCGTTGAGCAGCAGCTCGCCATTCTTGGTGAGATTGCGTTGCGTCTCTGAGTTGCAGGTGAACTCCTTTTGCAGCTCGGGGTTCTTCTGGGCCAGATCGGCGAATGAGTCGGCCAGGGCGTGCTGTGTGACAACCACGTGCTGGAAGTGCGAGCTAAAGGCGCGCGTGAGCCTCAAGATGGACAGATACTTCCGCTGTGTCTCGCGCAGCTGTTCGATTTGGGCCTCCAGCTCCGAGTCCACGGTGCGCTGCGACTTGCCCAGCTTCTCCAGCATGATCTGGCGTGTGCACTTGTACGTGGATATGCTCCAGTTCTTGAGGCTGTCGATCTTGGAGGCGCTAGTGCGAATGAGGCTGCCGCTCCCGCTTTCCGTGGGGCTCATTATGCCATTGCCAGAAGGCGGGCTACTGGGCGACATGGGTGTAGTGGGTGCTATTGATTGATGTGGTGAGTAAGGTTGCTTGGCAGTGATATATGTAAGCGACTCACCTGAATGGTTCCTAAGTGGCAGACTGTTGGGGGCGGCAAAGGGTACCGCCCATGGCCCCATGTCCTCCTCCTCCGGCGATACTGTGGCTGCTGGCGCTCCCGAGGACCAGGCTGCCGCCTTCGGTGCCCGTGTGCACCGATCCACAGCTGTCGTTCAGCGATGGCGCGTCCTTCAGCATCTCGTGTATGCTACGCTCGCGATCCGCCATGGCGATTTCTCTCTTTCAGCTTCCGAAAACTATTTAATTGCCTGCGGAAAAGTACTTTTCCTGTCTGCCCGTCTGTGGGGGTGTGGATGTGTGCTTGGTGGACGACGGGGAAGGATGCGCATCTGCGATTCCCACACCAAAATCAATGACGACGCTGGGCGATGCGAGATTCCAATAGCCGTCGCCTATACTCTGAGCAATTTCGCAATCCTTTTAAAAATCAGAGAATATTCACGGTTTCCTTAAAACTGAAAATCTGTGTGACCGTGCGGTGGTTGTGTATTAAATACCTTAGTCGCAATAAACTCTGTCAGGACACCGGCATTTACGCTTAGTATTTATTGTTGGTTAAAAATATGATTTAAACAAAATAATTTGAGTATTCCCTAATACCCAAAGCCAATTTATTTTATATTTATATTTAGAAGATAAACAGAGAAAATCGAGCCCTTTCAGTGAGTTTTCTCCGATATTATAGGAAATATATTCCAAGTATAATTTTTAGAGAACCCAACTCTGTTTTGGTGTTTTAATAAAGACCACCTGCGGTCACATCAAAGCAGACATTCTATTTAATTTTGGGGGATTTCACGTTAACCAAGTGGCCTGCCTTATCAGTTTGTTATTTAATCCTTTGAATTGCGTCGTTTTAGTGCAGTAAGCAGATGCAAAATGGTGTACCTTAACTTTGTGTTTGGCCTTGGCGTGGTTTTGGCGGCAGCTGCAGCGGCTGTTTACTTTAGCTGGCCGAACTACCCGCAGGCGGCCCCTCATCGCCAAACGCCTAGGAATCGCAGGGATGAGGACAAAGAGTTCGACCAGGGTGCCAGATTGCATCGGAACTTCAGGGACCAGCGTTTGCGGCGCAGGTTAGTATCCAGGAGTCGTTGAAATCTAGGAATAGCCTTACCAAATCCTTTGCTTCCTTGCAGCGTGCCGGGCGACAGGTGCCCCGTGTGTCTACTGAATATGGAGCAGAGAGACATGCACCACATGAAGTGCGGCCATGCCCTGGACAACGCCTGTTTCGAGGATTATCGCTACCTGCGCAGAAACTGTCCGCTCTGCAACCAGACGGTTAATCTCAGCCTGCCCGGCGACAGTTGCTCGATTTGCTTTGATCCTCTCGAGAAAAACAATATGGTGCATCTGCGCTGCCAGCACGCACTGCATAGCGAATGTTTCCAGCAGTTCATGAACAGCGGAGCAAAGACCTGCCCGCTCTGCAGGGAGCAATTGTAGGAGCCACAAATTTCGTTCAGAGCTCTGCAATCAGATATATATTTCAACTAATGATGGCTCCCCAAAAAGAAATTTAAGGAACCACATATATTATCAGCAGAAGCAAGTGATATACGCTTGGTGCACAACAATTTTTTATCAACCAACAAAAAAAAATAGATAAGCAATCGAATGAAGTCTGTCTTAGCGTGTAATTGTCAAACGTTTTGTTAAATAAACAACATAAAATGCCTTAGAGGAATGCCTCCAGTACGGGTGCCGCAACGAGACGCCAGCTCTCCCGCCAACGCAGCTCCTGGAACTGTTGCAGGCTGCGCTGAAAGCCGGCTCGCGTCTCCACGATACTCGGATTTTTTGGAAAGTGCTCGAACCAGATGCGTAGCTGCTCGGCCAGCTGAACGTGGTCCCCAAACACAAAGCCATTCTCTCCGTGCTTCACCAGTTCGTTTAGGCTGTAACAAAAGATTGGTAATTAGTTTGTAAGTCCTATATAAGAGTTGTTTCTTCGCGTTATTCCAATATTTATATTTGGTAACCAAATTATTTTTATGAAAGGTTGCCAGTTAAAGACAAGATTTTTTAAGACTTACGGACGTGTTTTTAGATGTACACATACTAACTACAACTAGATTAGGCTGAAATTGACTGATTTTGGTACCCACCACTTGAAATCGTAGGCGCAGACGGGCAGCCCGCTTCCGAACATATCGACTACCTTCATGGGCAGGTCCAGACCACTAGTGCTCCAGTGCAGGCACACTCCAAGATCGGCGCTGGCCAGCACAGTGGGATAGTCCTCGATCTCTAGCCAGGGCGTGATCACCGACACCTTTTGCCATTCCAGCCGAGCGATCTCGTCCTTGTAGTGCTCCTTTTGCGGTCCCTTGCCGGTGATGATGCACAGCAGCGAAGGGTACACTAAGGGCTCCGCTTGCGCCGTCTTCTCGTACGCCTGCAGGGCGTTGAGAAGTATCCCAAAGTCTTCGTCGGGCGTCCAACTGGTGCTGGACACCAGAACTGCCTGTCGTTGGGGTTTGTACTGCACACTGCCGTTTGCCAACTTTTGGGTAAGAGCGGTGGCTTCCAGCACATCGGAATGGCTTGTGTCCTTGGTCTGAAACTCCGGGAAGTCCTTGGCCAGCTTTAGAAAAAGCTCGTGCTTCTGGGGCAGGTCGATGGGATGAAATTGAGAGGGCGCTCGGTCGTACAGAACGTTTACGGGTCTAAAAGTGGATCAGTGATTGGTTATTACTACCTTTAAGGGGTTAAAGCCAGCCTTACCCAATCCCCCAGTTCTGCTGCAGATCTTCCTGCATGGCCCGCGTCACACAGAAGTGCGTGTGGGCCTTGGAGCCGAAGTAGCGCTCAAGACGTCGCACCAGCCGGATCAGGAGACTCTGCTCCCCGCCGGACATCCCCAAGGCCAGCACAGTGTAGGTGTAGTTGTGCCAATCGATGGCCAGCTTGGTGCGGGTAAGGGCGCAGTACAGGTAGCACACGACCAGCGTGGGAATCCCTGGCGGATTCTGGACGAGCAGGAAGCTGGGCCGACCTATGGAGATGAGGGCCATCAGCAGGCTGAGCGTCTGCCAAAAAGCCTTGAAGAGCAGGCGCAGTTTGGGCGTGAGGTTCGTCACCGGCACGGCGGTCAACTCGTGGATGCGACACCGGGGGTGCTGGTTGAGAGCCTCCAAGGGCCGTGTCTCCAAATAGCCGATGATGTCCACGTTGAAGTTTTCCTCCAGCAGGCTCTGGGCATGGTACTGCATTCGGGGACTGCGCCCAATGTCACCCAGCACGATGACGCAGGCGTTGCGCTTCTTGGGCGGCACTTCCGTCATCGCGGGGCAGGAAAACTACGTGGGTTATCTCTGATCAACGGCAATTGCGCGTTTTGTTTTTGGTTGAATCCTGAGGAGGGGTGGGAACGCTACTCAATTGTTAAAAAATACCTTTGAACCTGGAGAAATATCGACGTTTGCGGATATCGATAATTTTGGCGGAAAACGGCGATGTTTGAACCACAAAAATGGTCCTCCTGTATTTGCTAAAAACTGCTAAGATATAGTCAATACTTAAACGGTTAACATTTTCCGTTAGCAAGTACACACTCCAACTTTAGCGGATAAATACGCACCAGGTAGCGGATACGGGCGCCGCAGGTAGCAAATACTGGCACCACTTCTTTCTCGCGGTTAATGATGCCCAGCCAAACATCGATATTCCAGATGTTTTGAAAATCAAATTTTCAGTTTCGACTCGCAGCGGCGCAGACGTCGCTTGGCGCGGACGGATATGCAATTTCTTGCAAGAAACCCAAAATAAATAATGTTGTTGGTAAAAAAAATAACAGAACTAAAGCAAAATCAATAAAGTATCACAAAATATCGGAGTCAGTGCAAATATTTAGTAAAATAAAAAAAGGGAATAAGAAGTTAGTTGCAACCATTTACAATGTTTGAAAAATAACGGAAAACAGGATGAAGTTGCAGATATTGCTCGCTAGAAAGCAGCACTGTTTCGAATGCGCCATCTGTAGGTTCTGTGATCATGAGTTTGAGAGTCAGTTGTCAGTCTAGTTTTAGAGCCACTGTTACTCCTTTTGAATACTGTTAACAATAGAAAAATGGCAGCGCCGGGATGGGGGTCTTGAGGGTGGCAACGCTGGAAGTCTTGAGGGTATGATTTCGGTCGTGAGGCTTGGGAGCGTTTCCTGCGCTTTTTTGAGGATCGTGGCGGATTTGGGGGAGCGGGCGCAACTTTTGGGGGCTTAGTTCGGGAAACTGAGAAATTGGGGAAAAACCGGTAAGGTTCAGTTTGACGGTCTGGTAGCACTGTATTTTGCACAAGGGTAACACGCGCGACTGGAAAACTGGTGTATTCGATCACTTTCCACGGAAAACTGATCGCGGTGACCTGCCGCCCACCCCCGGCTCCCGTCGACAGCACTTTTTCTCGCGGAAAATGCGGCGAAACGGAAAATTTCGCGACACACAGATTTCAGGTCCAGGCAGTGTGACCACCTTTGGGTTTAACGCAAATATAGGCGCTTTCTGGCCATTTTCTCAAGGCGTTACAGGACTTTCTGCGTTTTCTCCAAAAAAGGAATATAGTTTTGCCGCCTAGTGTGCGATATATTCGACACCGTTAGAGAATGCAAAACATCGATAGCGCCCTGTCAAACATCGATATTAATATAGATACATCGATATTCGCAAAACATCGATGGCGTGTATGTCGGCATCGACGTTCTTGCACCTCTAAATCGCGCGGAAATCGGATCGTTCGGACGTCACGTCGCGGCTGGTTGCGGCACTTTTCTAACGGGACATCAAGCTCTGTGTTTGTGTGTGCGCGTGTGCGTCAGTGTGCGTCAGTGTGTTTACCTACAAAGCTGTGCTACAATATTCGAAGCGACTAAGCTGAGATAGAGAAAATATTAATTAAATACTAAGTGGTGAGAGAAACAACAAAGGCAAAAAACAAAGTCTGTCCATATTGTGGTTTACCATTGGACTTCGAGAACAGAATATATTCCGGTGAGTAAAATATGGATAAGCGCTCCAACTGCCGTTATTTTACGCATTTCGCCGGCAAAACAAGCCGGTTTTCCACCCTCCATTTGGCGCCTGTCTGGTTTTTTGTGTGTGTAGGTGTGTGGGGTTATTTCAACCATCGAATTTCGATGAAGTGGAAATGCAAATTTTCCTACACCACACACTACAATTTCCGAACTTCAGCAGGTTTTGTTTTTCATTTATGCATTTTTATGCGCGTAGTATTTCTTGCTATCATAAAATTTGTCACACGACTGTCTGGGATTATAACTGTATGCACAGATGCGGTCAAGAAATTAAAAAAAAAATAATATTTTAATAAAATTATTGACAATGTGCCATTGATTAATAATTGTTAATTACTTTCAAATTTTAAGATAAATTTTAATAAATTCTATGAATTTCTAAGCCTAGATAGACTCTTAGACCCAAAAAAAAAAATGCACTTGCCTGATTACTTACACTTAAACTTAAAAGCTTAAAACAAAATATTATATATTGAAAATCTATTTTTCTTCCGCAAATTGTATTATTTTGGCCCCAGCTGTGTGAGTGCTACACGTAGTTTATCCCATTAGGCGCGTCTGCAATTCCTGATCCAGACGCGATATTCTCTACTTCCTGCGTCCTTCGCAAAAGGCCAAATAGCCAAACTGCCACCCCCAAAGGAGGCGTTGAACGGGGGGTGGTTGCACTGGGTGGTTGGGTGGGTGGTTTTCGGTGGGTTGCTGTGTTTCCTACGCTCGTCTCGTGGGGTTGGCCCGCAAGTTTCCACTCTTGATTTTTGATTTCTGTGCGGCTTTTTATTGCGCTGCAGAAGTTTTTGCCCTGCCGTCGCCCTTTTGCGCTCTTTTCCATTCTCTTTCCTTATGGCAGCATTCGGCATACAAAAGTTATCCTCGGTCTAGACACGGAATCAAAGGACATTTTTCTTAGACAGGTTTATGCGGTGGAATTAAAATCGCATTTTAAGGATGCTGGATAATACTTACTTACATACGTTTTTGAAATCACTGCAGCGAAAATTTGTTCCATTGAAATCCATATCTATTTCCGTTTAAAATATTTGTCAAGGCTGATGAACTTAAAGATAAATATGAATATGTATAGCACAATTTATTTTTACTGCTAATTTTGGTTAGGACCGTTATAAAATTGATTGTTTGTATTTCAACATTACACATCTAGGTTTTCTCTTAATTTAATGTTTCATGTTTTCAAGTTTCATACTTTCAAGTACTTTTTCATTTGAACTCGTATAAACTGGATACAATTTTACTTACATACACCCTTCCTGCAGCCTGCGACATTTCATTCATCATTTTTCCCTTTTGCAGGATTCAAATTAATTTCATGTCAAATTTATGTCACTGAATTTCGTTTCGCCAAAATAAACTTAAATAGTATTTCAAAAATTGTTCCTTTGCAGCTACTACACCGGAAAACATATCAAAGAAGGGATTATTTTGGACTGAAAAATTCACTTTAAAGGAGCTCGAGAGTAAAACCCGTGACAGGTAAGCTTTTCCAGCCAGTGCGTGTGTGCATTTCGGTGGGTGAGGTGTTGTGGTTGGGTAGTTTGGTAGTTGAGTAGGTGAATGGATGAGGATGACGGAGGAACTGAGGCAGTCAACCTGAATAGTCGATTATCGCTGCATCTAATTTGTATGCCAAAGTCGTCGGGCTTATGGCCCGCATGCAGACCGCTCCAAAGGCAGGCGCGAGCTATTTGAATAATTCGCATCATGGACTCTCGGATGCCTGGGATATATAGTCTCCAAATGGGGCAGCTGTTTATAGGGTCAGGGGGGAGGGAATTCTGATGAGACGGCGCCGTATGCAGGCAGCTGCATGAGCTTGTAAAATGCCAGCACACAATGCCAAATATCCTAAACAAACTTCCGCTTCGCAGACGTCGCCCCGACGGAGAGGTGGCTATAATTAAAAGCGGAGCGAATGAGAGGCCGTCATATGGCACAGGGAAGTGTGAGAGAGTCGGCAAGATCGAGGCAAGTGCAGTGCATCCAGGCCCCTTTTTCTATTTGCGCTCGTCTGATTTACGGCCCATTACTTAAACACACCAATGCAATGTTAGGATATTAGGGAATTACTTGATGAATTTACCTTAAAAAATGATAAGTTTTAATATAATTTAAATTTGTAGTTCATTCAGAGCTGGCAATTATAGGTCTTACAATTGTATTTCGAGTTTTTATAAAATATTGGCAAAGGAGGGACCTTTCTTTCTTTCATTTCATTTTCATTACTAAACCTAATTTTTTTTAATAATATGTATATATATTGAAAAAACACTAATTAACAGATTAAAACTAATGAAATGTTAAAGAAAATTTTAGTGGTTTTTCGAAAGAGTATATTTTTTGAACAATTCCGATTTTGAATTTCCAGAATGGCACATTTTGTAGACCTTCTAATAAACAGTCAATTTTAAACAATCTCAACCTTTAATACCTACAATTTTCTTTCAGTGCAGCGCAAGATCTTTTGCTGGGCACCGATCAACATCAATTGTCTTTGACATTTTCCAAATAACAATCGACAAATGTTCGCTTAAGGGAAACAGGGAAAATAGCTGCGGAAGTGCTTGTTTCGTCTTTCATTCTCTATCTCTAATTCTCTCCATGCACTTCAATTTGTGAAGTGCTTTCTCCATGATAGTTGTTGCGAGGGGATGATGAGACGCAGGAGGGGGTGTTGCCTTAAAAGGAGGGCGAGGGTAATCGAGTTCAGTCGCCACACGTGACAAACATGTGGAACAACTTGTGCCGAGATGGTAAACTACTGGCTATCAAAAGGCAAATTACGCGAACCAATTCAGGTAGCAGAAGACATAGAGAAAGATAAAAGATAGCGAAAACAGTATCTTCGGGTCAATGGCTAAAGTTTGTTCACTCCTCTTAGCAATTCTACTTCTAAAGAAAATGGCAAGTTACGCATTAAGAACCGCAACCGTATTAAAGTTTTTCATCCTTAATAAAGCTATTTAATAGCTGCATAAAAGAGAGAATCCAATAGAAAACAATTATAAATTGTTCTTCCTGAAAGAATAACCATTTAAAAAGATATTTACATCCAAAGCCATCTATTGGGAATGGTTTAGTCTTTATTTGATAATATTTTTTGAGGAACCAATGACCATTTTTAAAATTATTTGATATACATAGTGTGTATTTAGCAAATAAACTAACATCTATTTAAATATTTCTTTTGAGGTTTTTTTTTCGAATTAATCCACAATTACAATTACTTATTAACCATAATATCATATTATCAAGCGTAGCCAGGAGGAATAGTTTTCTACCTTACCGTACCGTATCTGAAAGATTCAATTTCCGTGTAGTCACTGCAAGGTGCTTGAAATTCCGTTAAACTGTCGGATGCAGATGTCTCGTCTCCAGTCAGAGATGCAAGTTGCTAGCGGGTCATTTGTGCTGACGCTTTTATCCCCGCACGTGGACACGCGAATGACTGACTGACTGGCAGACTGAATGACTGACTGACTGACTGACTGACTGACCGAGTGAATGACTGACTGACTAACTGACGGGCACGCAACAATTGCGGCAACAACAACTAACTGGACGGAGAAAGGTAAGGGAAGAGGAAGCGAGTAACTTTTTCCTTCCCAGGTTCTGCCATCCAAATTTATGCAGTCCCTCTAAATGGAGGAGGTCATTGGGGTGGGGGAATGCCGGGTGAGTGCCCTGGGCAACGACAACTGCAAAGTGTTATTAAGTTGAGTTGTTGTTGTCACTATTGTTGTTGTTGTGCTGCTAGTACGATGGCTCTTTTGTTGTTATTCTCTTTTGTAACTACAGTGCCAACTCTAATACTCGAACAAATTATAGAGGACAAGTTTTATACAGTTTTATAGAAAATTGGTAGTTTTAAACTTGTGGCATCTAAATATTAAATATTTTACAAATTCTTAAGCTAAAATCAGAGAAAAACAATTTTCACTTCTCACTTAATGGTTTGCTAAAACGAAAGGTACAACTGATCTTAATGATTTATTTTAATAAAAAATTGTTTTTGTCCTATTTCAATGCATATTTTTAATAGTTAGTTCGATTTCAAAAAGTTTAAAGTCTTTAAGTCGGCGTAAGAAACTTTGAGTTAGTAAAGTTGGACTGTATATTTGTGTTGTCACTGCTCTTTCTCATTGTTGGCACTTGCTTTTGCTTGTTGCCTTTGGGCAATATTTTGCACCTTTTACGTTTATTGTGACATTATGCTTTGAATAATGGACGACACAAAAACAACAGCAGCAGGGCAAACACTTTTTAGAAGGCATGGGGCTTGGCGGGGGAAGGACGACTTTGTTGGGTTAGTGCCTGCCACTTTCCTTGTGTATTTTGCATCCTTTTTACATTATGTTTTGATTAAAAACTGAGCCACAACTTCGCCGCAGCAGATGGCAAAAAAAAAAAACAACTGAATACACAGAGAGAGAAAATCACGAGAAATGCAAACAAAAGGCCCGAGAGCAAGGCAAAGGCAAACAAAACATAACAAAGTGCGGTGTGTACGGAGTCTGGTCAAGGAGAGGGGGCGTGGCAGTTGGTGGGCGGGTAAATAGCTGCCACTGCGGCGGTCACTTTCAGGACATCGGAGCGCAAAATAAAAAATGCTGCGGCTAAGTGAAAAATGCTGATTAAAACGACCAAGACCAAGAGCCAGCTTGTGGCTCTCGGAAATTTATAAAAAAGCATGAATTACAAAAAAATAATCTGCTATTTCACTCTTAATATCTTCATAGCTGCTGTGCAAATAACTCAAATGTCATTTTAAAATATCCCGATTACAGCATCACTGAGTCTTTTGTGTAATTTTAATTAAAATGTTCTGTCTAGCATGACAGCATGAAAAATTTTAAGGTATGATTCAGTCCTGTGTTAAAATGATTCTTTCATATTTGACTTTATTTTATTGATAAAAGTATGGAACGTATTTCAAGATTTTGTTGATCTCTTCTACTTAAATTATCTTCTTAAATTTTTGGAAATTATCATTCTTATTACTTTAATATCATCATTGGCTTTTCGTTTAAAAAAAAAAGTTTATATAGTGTTGTTTTTTTATTTTCTTCTTATAACAAATATGTCTTTAGGTAATTTGTACGAGCATGTTTGTTTTTAATGTCAACATTGTACAAGTTGAATCGAATTTTAATGAGACTTTCGTGTTGGCCATGTAAAACATAACTTATTTAGTTGGCCACAAAGTTTTCATTTTTCACGTCACGCTTTGGAAACCAATTAAAAATATTCCTTTAAAAAGCGAAGAGCGGCCCGTGTTACATGTGCCAGGACACGGGACTTGGGATAAAGGATACAGGACACGCTTTTCTGAGCTGAGCCGGTGGCTTGTCACACCTCCCAAAAAAATGAAACAAGGAAAAAAACAAAAAAGATAGCAAACTTCGGCATACCGAAGTTTTTACACCCTTAAAAATTTTTTTTATTTCGATTTCGATGATTAAAAACAGTAGCTTACTACGTGGATATATGATATAGATGTTTAATATACAATTGAAACCGAAATTCTATAATCGTTAAAATTAGTACGTTTTTTACTTTTTATTTTTCCCCCCAAATTTTCCTAAGGTACTTCTTGCAAAGTTTCAGTTAAATGGGTTATTAAGGACTAAGGATTGCGTAGAAACGGTCTCACAGACATGGCTTGGTCAACTCACCTGGTTATGCTGATGAAGAATATATAAGTTTATAGGGTCGGAAATGTGACTTTCACTGTGTTGCAAACTTTTGAATACAATTATTATACCCTCTGCAAGGGTATAAAAACAAAAATGCGAACTGGCAAAGGAGCAGCGAAACCCGACTCCTCTGCAGTTGGTAAACTCCGTTGCCACAAAGTGAGTGAGTCATTATGGTGGCAACAGGGGGCTTCTGTGGCCAGAGTTTGGATGGGGGAGACGAGGGAACAGGGTTTGACGTTGGCGCCTGTCCGTTTTTTGCAAATGAGGTTGGCCAAATCTTCCCAGAAGGATGTGTAACTGCGTGTGTTTTCGGGCCAGCTGCATTGTCGGGCAATTAAGCGCTGTCTTTGGCTGAAAATAAGCTTCGTGCACTGCGAGGAACTAGATGTTTAGAAATCGAAGAACCTTAAAATAATTACTGCATTCTCTGGGACTCTTTTAAAGTGATAAATTAGAATGTAATAAGTCAAAATGTTATCTTAAGACTTTAAATATGTTTAAAGATAAAGAACGATTATAATTAAACATAAACATACACGGTCTCGATCATGCCAAAATTTCTTAAAATTAAATATTACACTTATCAGCAATCTAAGAGCTTTTGAAGCCTAAAGTGTATTCATTAACTAATTTTTAATGGAAAGTTTAGCACTTGTGTATAATGAGAAAAACGATTTTCTTGTGGAAAACATTGGCTCTCCCGTTTTTATTAGATCAACTTGTTTAAATTAACAAAATGAATGGGCAAATATATTTCATTAGTGGGTGGAGAGGTGC